TCACAAAAATTAACTCAAAATGGATCACAGACCTCAATGTAGGATGCAAAACTATAAAACTCTTAGAAGATAACATAGGAGAAAACCTAGATTACCTTGGGTATGACAATGAAATTTTAGATACAACATAAGGCATGATTCATTAAAGAAATAATGGGTAATCTGGACTTCATTAAAATTAAAAACTTCTGCTCTGCAAAAGACAATGTCAATGGAATGAGAAGATAAATTACAGGCTGGGAGAAAATATTTGCAAAAGACATATAGTCAGCCCTCCATATGCGCAGGTTCTGCATCCATGGATTCAACCAACTGGGGATCGAAAGGCCCACACTGGTTGCATCTGTACTGAACACGTACAGACTTTTCTTTTCTTGTCATTATTCACTAAACAATAATGTTTAGTGCTGTGTATAACAATACAGTATAACAACTATTTACATTGTAATTACATTGTATTAAGTATTATAAGTAATCTAGAGATGATTTAAAGTATACAGGAGGATGTGCATAGTCATATGCAAATCTTACACCATTTTATACAAGGGACTTAAGCATTCTCAGATTTTGGTATCTCTGAGGGGTCCTGGAACCAATCCCCCGTGGATACCGAAGGACGACTGTATCTGATAAAGGACTGTTATTCAAAATGTGTAAAGAACTTTAAAACTCAACAATAAGAAAACAAACAACCTAATTTTTGCAAGGGCCACAGACCTTAACAGACACCTCACCAGAGAAGATATACAGATGGCAAAGAAGTATATGAAAAGATGCTCCACATCATATGTTGTCAGGGAAACTCAAATTAAAACAACAACGAGATACCACTACACACCTACCTATTACAATGGCCAAAATCCAGAACACTAACACCACCAAATGCGGAGCAAGAGGAACTCTCATTCATTGCTTGTGGGAATGTAAAATGGTACAGCCACTTTGGAAGAAAATTTGGTGGTTTCTTACAAAACTAGGCATACTCTTACCATATAATCCAGCATTTGGGCTCCTTGGTGTGTACCCAAAGGGATTGAAAACTTATGTCCACACACAAAGCTGCACACAGTTGTTTATAGCAGCTTTATTCGTAAATGCTAAAACTTGAAAGCAACTGAGCTGTCCCTCAGTAGGTCAACGGATAAAGAAACTATGGAACATCCAGACAATGGAATATGATTCAATGCCAGAAAGAAATGAGCTATCAAGTCATGAAAAGACATAAACGAACCTTAAATGCATATTACTAAGTGAAAGAAGCCAATTCTAAAAAAGCTACCTATTGTATGATTCCAACTATACGACATTCTGGAAAAGGCAAAACTATGGAGATTATAAAAAGATCATTGGTTGCCAGGGGTTGAGGGGGTGAGGGGAGGATGAATAGGAGGAGCACAGAAGGTTTTTAGGGTAATGAAAATACTCCATATGATACTATAATGGTGGATATATGTCATTATACATGTATATACATATATATAGATATATATGAATATCATATAGGTAGATGAATATATATATCTCTCTATATATGGATTTGTCCAAATCCATAGAATGTACAACACCAAGAGTGAATCCTAAGGTAAGCTATGGACTTTGGGTGATAATGATGTGAAAATGTAGGTTCATTCATTGTAACAAATGTCCCGTTCTGGTGGGGGATGTTGATGTGGGGGAGGCTATGCATATGTGGGGGAAGGGAGGATATGGGAAATCTCTGTACCTTCCTCTCAGTTTTGCTGGGAACCTAAAACCGCTCTAAAAGAAAATTGTCTTGAAAGAAAAAATTCACTGGAGTTCATAGAACAGAACAGGATCTGCTGTCTTTGTGAAGCTCCTCTTTGTGTGTAGCTTTACTGGGGCCGGAAGGGAAACTCTAGAAGACTGTAAGTGAGGCCGACAGTCCACGCCCCTGGCGCCCAGGCAACGTGGAGGAGGAAGGGCCTGGAGAGGGCGGGTGGAGCAGCAGCAGCCGCTGTAAGGATACCAAAGCCAGAGTACATGCGCCTGAGCAGATGTGGGGTCTTGCTGCTTTTGGATCCTGATCAAGGCTGGGGAGGAGGTGCAAAGAGATCATTGCGCTTTCTTACTCACATTTTACTCTCCCCTAAGACCAGTTGAAATGGAGAAAAAAAGAATAGGCTGGAGAAAGTAAAAAGTGAGTTAGGAAAGAAGTTGCATTAAGTTACTAGAGGAGTTTTCTCAAAGTAGCATTCCTCCTTTGCATCCTCTCCTCTGACCCCTGGAAGGATGCTGTCATCAGAAAGCTTAGTCAGAAGGCTTGATCATAATCTTAGCACATTTGATCAGATGGGTCAAATTTGTAATTATTTAATTTGGAAAACAGTATTCTCTTGATTCAAGCTAATGGTGTTATAATAAAATTTCATATGATCTTGCATGATATAAAGCTGATTTGAAGTTATTTTCTCAACTAGAATATTTACAATAGAGTAATTTCTGCCGAAAATGTAAGAAACCGTATATACCTATATTGTCTACATATGTCAGAAATTCATAGCAACTGCTGAAGTTCATCATTAAAAACAATTTAAGTACTCTTCCATCCCAAGTTGAACCTCCAAATAGGTGCTTCTTTTAACTGGCTTGAAATCCACTTTCTTTAGAGCTAAGCTATATATGTTATGCTCGTATATAAGTACCTCCCATTGCCGTTGACTGTTTTTCAAAATGGAAATATTTTTCTTTTTCGCCATTATCTTTAGTTATTTATTATTTATATAATTTAACCAGTTCTTCCTCTAACTAGAAAAAGTGTTTTATTTTAAATAGAAGTGGCTATCTATTTTCTTCTTATTTTAAAAGTAATACATGTCTAGGTAAAATAAGGTTAGAAAAGCAGTTAGAATTTTAGTTAACTAAAATATAACTCAACTTAGAAAGTTAAAGTTAGAAAAGTCGGAAGACTATAAGCTTAAGGAGATTCTCTCTGTAATCCTACTATCCAGAAATCATTGCTGTTATTATTTTATTGCATATCCATCTAGGCATTTTTCTATGCATAAAGCACAGTTTTTAAAGACATAAAAATGAACTCTTACTATACATACTGCTTCACAGTGTCCTTTTTTTCAATTTGCATTGAATCATGGATATTTTTGTATGTTCATAAATATAGCTTACGCTGTTTCTTTAAATAGCTGCGTAAATTCCATTATGGGTGTGCCATTTTTAAAACAATTCTTCTATTGATGGTGATCATTTAAGTTTGTAATTTTTTATTTGAAAAGACCCACACAAGTAGATTGGGAAGTATTTCCATGAGGTATTGTTCAGTCAAAAAGCAAGATGCAAAAATGTACTTATAATATTCCATTTGGTAAAACAATAAAATGACACTGTATATGTGTATATTTACATGCATATATATGACAGTGGAGAAAAATATAGGAAGATTTAGTTCAAGAATATATCTGAGGTATACTCTAGATCTCTGTCTACATAGAGGATACTGCTATTAGTGGATAGGGAGAAAAAAACTATTGGAGGGAAGCAAATTCAAAAGTAAAAGAAAAAAAATTGTACTAAAAATTTAAAGTATATGTGCTATTATCTTTATTGTTACAAAAATTATGTATAAAGGTAGGCATATGTTTAAGTGAATTAATTAAAATTTTTTTCTGTACTTAAAAATAGCTAGAATGAAGAAAACAAAGAAGAAAATAATGGGTCCAAGGTTGATGCCTAATGACCTCAGGTGTAGCTATTTTTAGAAATAAAATTGGCCATTAAAAAAGTTTGTAATTTTTTACTCTTATGAGATTTATGAACATGTTTGCATATGTCTTTATACACTTGTCCAATTATTTCCTAGAGTAAATTGCTAGGAGTACAATTGTTGGGGCAAAAGAATATTTTAAGGGTTTGATATGTATTGATAAATCACCTGTCAGTTAGGTTGTACCTATCTGTATTTCCATCCACAGTTTATGAGAATGGCTATTTCTTCACAACTTCCTCAGTGCTGGGTACTTTGAATCTTTTAAATCTTTGCTTATGTGACATGTAATAAAATAAAATTTTGCTTTTTTACTTTTCTTTGATTACTAATTCTGTTCATTGTCTTTTCATGTTTGTTAGAAGTTTTGCTTTTTGTTTCATGAATTGTCCTTTACCCAATTCTGTGGGAATTCAACTGTCTTACTAATTTACAAGGGCTTTTTCTATGGAAAGGCTGTTTAACTTTTTATTATGTACATTGTAAAGCCTATTTCCAAGTTTGCCATTTCCATTTTGCTTATGATATTTTGAGATATAAAAATTTCAACTTAACCTCAATTCTGTTGATCATTTCCTTTTATAGTTTCTGGCTTTTGAGCCGTGCTTAAAGACTTTCACTCAAAGATGATACAAACACTTACTTATGCTTCCTATTGGTACTTTTATAGCCTAATTTCTACCTTAAATATTTTTAAATATCTGGAATTAATTTCTATTCAAGGGATGACGTAGCTTTTCCACATGGTTAACCAAGTGATCCCAGTATTTGTGATTGAATCACAATCCAGAAAGAGGCCTGCTTTTTTTAAATCAGAAAGCGTGTCTTTTTTTTTTCTCAACTCCTGCATTTCTGGAGGGAAATAGCTAAAGGTGAGTGTGCAACTAAAAGCAGAGAAGAAAGAAACCAGGGAATGTACCAATTCCGAACAGGTTCAAAAGTAACTGTATGACATCCTAGAATCTACCTTTTATAGGTCATACTAGAACCCTGCCCCTGATACGCAGGTAAATAGGCCCTTTTGTGAGTACACCCAGGTTTCCATACCCCTTCAGTTTCTTGCCAGAGGTGGGAATAACAAGGCAATGCTGTCAGGATTATTGGATGGAATCCTGGTTACACTGGATTCATAGCTTTGTGCATGTCGGTGTTTAAAGGGGGAATGGACTTCGTGAAGCTCAAGGATTTATTGCTACTTGATTATATAGTATCCTAAGTGATCATATCAAGTTTTAATTTCTAAAATAATTTTCCCTCTTAGGATAGAGGCATATACTTTTCCTCCTGCTTCTCCTGATTACCCGCCCAGCCCTTCAAAGTGCACTGTGGGCACTCAGACAGCTTATCGGGATGCCGAAGTTCAGACGGATCCGTATTCCCCAGAGTACGTGGTATGTCAGGACTCGATCCCTGAGCTCCTGACCCTGGCCACTCTTACTTGGGGTGAGTCGGTAATTCCCTTGAATATTTGCAGATGACAGTCTGATAACCAGGCATGCTATTGAGTTCCTGGAAATGACGCACACAAGCAACTGTGGTTTAAAGTGTTGCTATTTTAAGTGTCTTGCTCAATAGGTCTGCTTCACAGACTCTTACTTTTTATAATAGTTTTGTTCAAAGAGAGATACGCCCTTTTCACTGTAAGGAGGCTTATTGTGCTCTGTCCCTGAAGCTGAAGTTATATTTCAGCTCAGTTTTGTTGCTTTGCTGGCCGTTGGCCTCCTTCCTCTCACTGTTTCTCCCAGTGAATCAGCTCCTTTTCATTGAGCAACCCATACTCCTTTCCATATAAACCTTTTCTGAGTGTGGAATACTGAATGCGTATTCCAACATATGTAATAATATCTTATTTTGCCAAAATATCTTGCAAATAATCAAATCTCTATTACATACCTTATTGCATGATTTATTTTGATATTATCTCTGAAATGCTAATATCTTTTAGGCTCAGAATTTCACTCTTAGAATGCAATAAAACCTGGCCTAGGCCTATATGATGTGAAACTATAAAAATCGTTAAGAGCAGAGGTCTTTAGAAATTATTAGACATTAGATTTTCGAACTCACTTGGTTGTAACTGGGAAACTGAGAACCAGAGAAGCTAACTGACTCCTCCAAAGTCGTGGAGATCGTTGATACATGTAGTGATTTTTATTAAAATGAGATCACTTTTGTTTCCCCACTGTAGTGGATAGCTGTGATCAGGCCAGCGTCACGGGCAGTGAAGATGTTCATGTCTGCACTCTGGTTTGATTCAGGTCTCCTGGCTCACTGTGCAAATCCAGGTTCAGCATCTTGACCCCCACACTTCAAAGCAGAGGCTCTACTTTCAGGCCTAGATGACAGATTGACAACGTGCTGAAACTTTTCCCTTCTGCTCTGAACACATAAAAAATATATTATAAAAATTAACAAACACATTGCTACACTTAAAAACGAGGAAGAAAATTTCCATAGTCTAGAAGTGGAGCCTTCTTCCTAAAAGAAAGAAATGGCTGGGAACCTAGGATCTTAAGCAGAGCCCTTGAATGGCGGGGAGCCAGATCCGATTCACCTGCCTGATCTGGAGGACACAGAGACTTTTCTCCCGCCCACAGGTGGGACTGAAGCCCCGCACCTGCCAGTCAAAGATTATAGCCAGAACTGAGTCAGGCGCTCCCGCCTGGGGCCTCGGGCTTTTTGCCTGTTTGTGTGATATGGGCATTGAGCTGCAGAAGTTACCAGAGCCAGGCCCTCTAAAGCAAGAGATCTAGGAGGGGCTCAGAAATGCTTCACTAGTCAAAAAGCCTAATCTGGAGCCCTGCCCCTGGCAGCACTGAGATGGAAGTGTCAATAAAAACCCCTGTGAGTCAGGCCTACCCCCTCATTTGGGCGGCCCTGGGTTGGGATTCAAAGGCCCACATACCATATGTAAAAACGTTTAAAAATGATAAATCAAGCTAACATCTGTTAAGTTAAATACATTCTGTAATTTTTACAAATATATCTTTATAACAAGTTGAAAGGACAAGTTGAAATTTAGAATTCTTAGGCTTCTTGGGATGCTGGAACGTGCAGCAAGGGGAGAGGCCTGTGGCCTGCCCTTCTCTCCTCCCACGCTGCTCTGCTCCGCACCGTGAGGGACCTGACATGCACGCATGTGATTGCCCTACCTTGCCCTTCCAATCTCTGTCCACACATCCCTGAAAACAGCCACCACGTGGCCACACCTGGGCGTCAGGGGGAACCAACGGCAGCAGATAGTCTGCCCTCAGGAGTCTGAATCCTGGGAAGAGGCCCATGGAGACTTTGGAAGCAGGCTTGGGGCCATTTGTGCAAGGATCTTTAAAAGGCAGAAGAAACAGTCATTAGGACCATAAAGTAGTTTTGTGGATAGAGATGAATAATGTAGACAAACCTGTCACAGGAAACATCAAGCCCAAAGACAGAAGATGCAAATAAAGAGTATTAAGATTGGAAGGGGACATAGCTATAAAGGGTTTAAGAACTGCAAGAGAATGCTATGCATATCTTCTGCCCTGTATTTTATAACTTAGATAAATTATACAATTTTTAGAGAAAATATAAATTACCAAGTTGGTTTCAAGAAGAAATAGCAAACCTGAATAGAAGAATAACTATAGAAATTGACTTGGTAAAAAAAAAACAAAAAACTTTTTAAACCTTTTAAGAGCACCAGGCCTAAACAGTTTCACAAATAAGTTTACCACTCCGTCAAGGCACAAATAAGCTCTGTTTTATGAAAACTCTTCCAGCAGAAAGGATAGAAGTTAATTTATTCATTTTATGAAGCGAGTATAGCCTTGATTTGAAAACTGAATAAGGATAGTACTAGAAAAGAAAATTACAGGCCCATCTCACATATGAAGAACATGCAAAAATTCTAAATAAGATACCAGCAATCAAATCTTGCAGTATTTTAAAAAGATGACTTTATCATAACCAAGTGGGTTAATCACGTAGATTCAAGGTTAGTACAATATCGGAAAACCGACCAATGTAATTTACCATTTTGACAGAATATGTAGGGAAAATGTTTCAATAGATGCAGAAAAATTATTTGATAACGTTCAGCACTCAATCATGATATAAACTTTGAATAAACTGGATAAAAAGGGAATTTTACTAACTTAAAGGCATCTGCCACAGCCTTCAATAAACATGATACTAAACATGAACTTCTAGAAGCTTTCCTTTTAAAGAGAAAGACAATTATCCCTTTATCACCACTATTGTTTAGCAATGCAGAGAAGATCCCAGCCCAGAGCTTATTAAGCTAGGCTGTGACTCCTAGCCCCCAGGAACATTTGGAAATATGGGTGGCACCTTTTTTTTTAAGGTTGTCCCTGAGCTAACATCTGTTGCCAATGTTCTTTTCTTCTTCTTCTTCTTCTTCTTCTTCTTCTTCTTCTCCCCAAAGGCCCCCAGTACATAGTTGTTTATTCTAGTTGCAGGTCCTTCTGGTTGTGCTATGTGGGACGCCACCTCAGCATGGCTTGATGAGCAGTGCTAGGTCCATGCCCGGGATCTGAACTGGTGAAACTCTAGGCTGCCGAAGGAGAGCGTGCAAACTTAACCACTTTGCCACGGGCCGGCCCCGGGTGGCATTTTTGTGTGTAGTAACAGTAGGAAGTGCTCCTGGCATTTAGCACATGGGATAGGGCTTGGGGGTAGGCTGACATGAATACTAAACATCATAGGGCAGCACCATATAACAAACAGTTGTGTGCCCAATATGCAGTAATAGCACTCTGGTTGAGAAATACGGAGTCAATGTAGTAAGATAAGAGGGGGAAAAATGACCTATGAGGATTAGAAAGAAGCAGCAAAACTATCTTGATTTGCAGACAGTGTGCTCATTTAGAAAATCAAATTAAATAACAAATTGTCAGAACTAAGAACTTGAGTTCAACAAGGTAGCTGATTATGAAGTCAGGATACAAAGATCAGTGACTTTCTTGTATATGAGCAATATCTAGTTAGAAATGTTATTGAAAAATCATATTCTTATTATTTTGGTGAGGAAGATTGGCCCTGAGCTAACATCTGTTACCAATCCTCCTCTTTTTGCTTGAGGAAGATTGTCACTGAGGTAACATCAGTGCCAATCTTCCTCTATTTTGTATATGGGATGCCACCACAGCATGGCTGATGAGAGGTGCATAGGTCTGAGCCTGGGATCCGGGCCAGTGAAACTTGGGCGGCCGAATCAGAGGGCGCAAACTTAACCACTACACTACTGGGCCAGCCCCGAAAAAATCATATTCTTAATAGCAACAAATAATGTACCCAGGAAATCACTTAATGAAAACATGTGCAAGGCATTTATGGAGAAAAATATACATTGTTTCTTAAGCACATAAACAAAGATTTGACAAAAAGAGAGGCACACCATGTTTATAAACGGGAAGACTCATGCTTGAATACATATTATTTCTTCCTCAAATATTTCATACCTTCACACAATTCTGATCCAAATCCCTATTCCCAGTATAGCCATACCTATGTAAATCAGCATCGTTCCTCTCCTCCTCCCAGAAATTACACAAAAGCAAGAAGGACAACACAACTCCCACGAATTCCATTTTCAGTGAAACTAAAAAATGTGAATATATATAAATAATCTGTGAACTACTAAATGTTTCTAAGGACTGCAAAGAGCAACTGAAATTAGGCAGAAGCAATGTGGGAGGAAGTGAGGAAGCATGGACTGTGGGAGAGGATCAGGGGAATCTCACAAGGCTTGAGCAAAAATATACTTCCGGAGGCAAGCTTGACAATACCAGAAAAATTTAAAATAATTGTATTTTATGATCTAGCTGCTAGACTCTAGATCCTTCGAAGGATCCTAGAGAAATTCACATATGGGCATCATGAGACCAGTACAAGGATGTTTGTTGCAGCATTATTATGGGTAGTCAAAAAATTAGAAGCAATCTAACTGTCAGTTCGAGAAGGTGGCTTAAATTGGGTAGAGTCCTACAGTGGAAAAATGAAATTAGATCTCTGTATATGTATGCCTAAGTCCCCAAAACAAAGGTGAGTAAAAAAGCAAGTTGCAGAATGATACCTATAGTAAAATATATGTATGTAAATATTACATAAAAAACAGTACTATATTTTATTTATGTATAGTTCATTTTTTCACAGCTTTATTGAGACATAATTGATGTATAACATTGTCTAAGTTTAAGGTGTACGTGATGATTTGATATACATATATATTGTGAAAGGATTACCACAATAAGGTTAGTTAACACATCCATTATCTCACACAGTTATCATTTGTGTGTGTGTGGTGAGAACATTTAAGATCTACTCTTTTAGCAACCTTCAAGTATACAGTACAGTGTTATTAACTATAGATCTGTACATTAGATCTCCAGAAGATTAGATCTCCAGAACTTATTCATCTTATCACCGAAAGTTTGTACTGTTTGACCACTTTCACTCATTTCTCCCACTCCCTTGCCCCTGGCAACAACCAGTCTACTCTCTGTTTCTATGAATTTGATTTTAGAGTCCAGATATAAGTGAGATCCTATAGTATTTGTCTTTTTCTGTCTGACTTATTTTATTTAGCATAATGCCCTCAAGTTTTACCTATGTTGTCACAAATGACAAGATTTCCTTCTTTTTTTATGGCTGAGTAATATTTATGTGTGTCTATCTATCTATTTATCTATTGATCCATCTACCTCACATTTTATTTATCCATTCATCTGTCCATCGACACAGGCTGTTTCCATGTCTTGGCTGCTATAAAAAAGGCTGCAATGAACACGGGGGTGCAGACATCTCTGAGAGAGTGATTTCATTTCCTTCAGATATATACTCAGAAGTGGAACTGCTGGATCATATGCTAGTTCTACTTTTAATTTTTCAGAAACCTCCATACTGTTTTCTACAGTGGCTGCACCAATTTACATTCCCACCAACAGTGCACAAGGGTTCCGTTTTCTCCACAGCCTCACCAGCACTTGTTATCTCTTGTCTTTTTGGTAACAGCCATTCTAACAGGTGTGAGGTGATATCTCATTGTGGTTTTGATTTGCAGTTCCCTGATGATTAGTGATGTTGAGCACCTTTCCATGTACCTGTTGATCGTTTGTATGTCCTCTTTGGAAAAAGGTCTATTCAGATCCTCTGCTCCCTTTTCAGTCGCATTGTTTGATTTTGCTATTGAGTTGTATGAGTTCCTAGTATATTTAGGATATCAGATATATGGTTTGCAAATATTTTCTCCCATTCTATAGGTTGCCTTTTTATCTTGTTGATTGTTTCCTTTGCTGGCAGAAGCTTTTTAGTTTGATGTAGTCCCATTTGTTTATTTTTGCTTTTGTTGCTTGCACTTTCGGTGTCATATCCAAAAAAATCATTGCCAAGACCAATATCAAGAAGTTTTCCCCCTATGTTTTCTTCTAGGAGTTTTACACTTAAGTTTTTAGTCCATTTTGAGTTAATTTTTGTGAGTGGTGTAAGATAGAGGTCCAGTTCCATTCTTTTGCATGTGAATATCCAGTTTTCCTAGCACCATTTATTGAAGAGACTATCTTTTCTCCCTTGACTATTCTTGGCTCCTTTGTCAAATATTAGTTCACTGTATATGCATGCATTTATTTCTGGGCTCTTGACTCTGTTCCATTGGTCTATGTGTTCTATACTGTTCTGATTACTATAGCTTTTGTAATATGGTTTGAAATCAAGAAGTGTGATGCCTCCAGCTTTGTTTTTTTTTCAACATTACTTTGGCTATTTAGGATCTTTTATGGTTCCATATGAATTTTAGGATTGTTTTTCTATTTCTGTGAAAAATACTATTGAAATTTTGATATGAATTACATTGAATCTATGGATGGCTTTGGGTAGTATGGACATTTTAACAATATTAATTCTTCCAGTCCATGAACATGGGATATTTTTCCGTTTGCTTGTGTCTTCTTTAATTTCCTTCATTAATGTCTTATAGTTTTCAGGGTACAGATCTTTCATTTCCTTGGTTAAATTTATTCCTAAGTATTTTATTGTTTTTGATGCTATTATAAATGGGATTATTTTCTTTATGTCTTTTTTAGATAGTTCATTGTTAGTGTATAGACATGCAACTAATTTTTTTTATTTTATTGAGGTCCTAATAGTTTATAACATTGTGAAATTTCAGTTGTACATTATTATTTGTCAGTCACCATATATATGTGCCTCTGTTTCCCTTATTCCCACTCATTAGCCCTCTTCCTCTCTGGTAACCACTAATCTGTTCTCTTTGTCCATGTGTTTATCTTCCACATATGGGTGAAATGATATGGTGTTTGTCTTTCTCTGTTTGCCTTATTTCACTTAACATAACACCCTCAAGGTCCATCCATGTTGTTGCAAATGGGACAATTTTGTCCTTTTTTATGGCTGAGTAGCATTCCGTTGTATATATATATATATACCACATCTTCTTTATCTAATCATCAGTCAATGGGCACTTGGATTGCTTTCACGTCTTGGCTATTGTGAATAATGCTGCAGTGAACATAGGGGTGCATAAGTCTCTTTCTATTGTTGATTTCAAGTTCTTTGAATAAATACCCAGTAGTGGGATAGCTGGGTCATATGGTATTTCTATTTTTAATTTTTTGAGAACTCTCCATACTGTTTTCCATAGTGGCTGTAACAGTTTGTTAGAATAGCCATTCTAACAGGAGTAAGGTGATATCTCATTGCGTTTTGATTTGCGTTTCCCTAATGATTACTGATGTTGAACATCTTTTTACGTGTCTGTTGGTCATCTGTATATCTTCTTTCAGAAAATGTCTGCCCATTTTTTGATCGGGTTGTTTGTTTTTTTGTTGTTGAGTTGTATGAGTTCTTTATATATTTTGGGGATTAACCCCTTGTCAGATATATGACTTGCAAATATTTTCTCCCATTTGGTGGGTTGTTTTATTTTGAGAACCACAACTAATTTGTGTATGTTAATTTTTATATCCTGCAACTTACTGAATTCATTTATTAGTTCTAATGGGTTTTTGTTTTGTTTTTTTGAGGAAGATTAGCCCTGAGCTAACATCTGCTGCCAATCCTCCTCTTTTTGCTGAGGAAGACTGGCCCTGAGCTAACATCCATGCCCATCTTCCTCTACTTATATGTGGGACACCTGCCACAGCATGGCTTGACAAGCAGTGTGTAGGTCCACACCCAGGATCCGAACCGGTGAACCCCAGGCCAGCGAAGCAGAATGTGCACACTTAACTGCTACACCAGAGGCAGCCCTTATAATGGTTTTTTGATAGAGTCTTTAGGGTTTTCTATATGTAAGATCATGTCATCTGCAAACTGAGACAGTTTTACTTCTTCCTTTCTGATTTGGATGCCTTTTATTTCTTTTCTTGCATGATTGCTCTGGCTAGGACTTCCAGGACTATGTTAAATAGGAGTGGCGAGAGTGAGCACTTTCGTTTTGTTCCTGGTATTAAAGGAAAAACTTTCAGCCTTTCACTGTTGAGTATGATGTTACTGTGAGCTTGTTTGTGTAGTTTATTTTTGTTTCATATTTGTTTTTATCAGAGAGGGAGTATAGTTTAGTGCATAAGACAAGCATCAGATTGCCACATTCAAATCCTGATTCCACCAGTTACCAGCAGTGACCTTTTGCAAGTTACTTTGATATTTCTTCATATTTCAAAATATAGGTTTGTCCAATACAAGGCATGCCAATGTGGATTATTCAGCAGTCCCATAATATTCTTCAAATACTTTCTAGCATTTTACATGCAACCTAAAATGTCTTCTGGCTGAATTACCAACAAGAGGCAGTGCAGTGCACAGATAACAAACTGTGAGGCACATCTGGGGATGTTTGCTAGTGTCATTTTATCCTGTTATAACCCTCGAATTCAAACAGAGAAGGAACTGAACGGGAGTAAATTAAATACCGGTAGGTACATGAGTTTGTCCGTGTGTTTCTAAAGCGTTTTGCTTCCCCCTCCAGGTCGCGGTCTCCCGGCAGGACAAGCCGAGGTGGAGATGATAGAACGTGCCCGGGAGAAGCGCGCTTGGGAGGCCACTCTGCCCCCTCTGAGTGACACCGCCCAGTTTGAGAAGAGGAGGAGGATGATGAACGTGATGGAGAGGAAGGAGTGGGCCTTCAGAGAGCAGGAGATTGAAAAGTAGGTTCTCGATCCCCCGGACAACTGCTTCTGCACTAATGAGAGTATCGCTAATACTTTTGACTGTGAAGCATTTTCCCAAAGGCATGGGTTTAAAAGCAACCCTCAACACGGAGAGATTCAGGAGCAATCGCTCTATAATTTTCTCTTCAATAATATAAAAATGTGTGAGGCCCTCTTTGTGAAGTTCAGCACGGAACCCAGATTTGAACAATTGCTCAAGGCATCTCTGGTTCTTCCCTTCCCTTTTCTCTTTGGTATCTAATCTTGACTGTCATAGAATTCCACTGATTTCTGCAAAATGTCTTTCAAACCATCCCTTTCTGTTCATTCCCAGTGCCACTGTCCCTAGGCCTTGGCCCTCTTCATGTCCCGCAAACAGCCTCCTAGCTAATCCTGTCTCTTCATCCCCCTGGTACTGGATTCACCATCAGGACACCTTGGAGTCTAGCTACCGCTAATGGGACATTTTCTATTTAAAAGACAAATTGTGGACTTCTTCAATTAAGAGATGAGCTTACAGCACATAAAGAACAATATGCTGAGGTACTTCTGGTTGAGTTTTAAGTCATTTTAACTGCTGTATTTTCAGTAATGAGGTTGTCCCTGCAATGAATAGGAATGATGAGAACCAAAAAATCTACAACTCCCTAGCAAGAAAGGAACGAAGGGAGCTGGTTGGGGTTGTCCTTTGTTCCGGGCTGTGCTGAAGCACTTTATTGCTCATAGCAATGCTACCAAGGCCCCTGACAGTGTGCTTACACACAGGAAAGTTAGAGGCCAAGAGAGTCAGGGACCCAGCATGGTTCTGAATTCAGCGTATGTTTGTATTTTTAGAACACCTTCTCATTAACCCTCAATCCAGACTGTGTGATGTTTTGGCAAAAGCTTGCAATTTAATAGAAAATAATGTTTGGGGCAAAGTAGGTGTCAGATATCTAATCTTGTCTGCAGAAATTTAAGTTTCTTGCTGTGATTTGTAGAGGTATATTCTTGTCAGAAGAACATTAAAGTGTTAAAAATGTATTTGACCAGAATGAAGATATCACCTGGGAAAATGAGTACTTTTGTTAAACTGAGGTTAATTTTAATAAACATATTTTGAGTCCCTCCTATCTGCCAGCTCTGTGCTGTGAGCTGGGGAAAGAGGGAGGCCTAGGAAAGCGCTGTGCCCTCACACACTCTTTATAGTCCTCTGGGGCAGGGAGTGGGGGCTGGGAAATGGGCAGGGAGGTGTGTGGGGATGGGGCAAAAGACCTCCAGACCAACACGTCTCAGGCAGGGTCTCTCAGGTGATGTGCTGGGGAGCTCAGGCGAGAGAACAGTTAGTTTGAGGTGGGTGGGGATTTGGGGGAACTACTGAGAGGGAGTAGCCTTTGAGCTGGGAACTGTTGAAGGGTAAGAGCAATCAGGTGGAAGGTAATATCAGTGGTGATGATGGTGATGATGATGATATTCACAGAGCACGTAACACTTGTAGAATTCTAACTGTGTACCGGAGCCAAGTTCCAAGCCAGTAGTTCTCAAAGCGTGGTCCGCAGACCAGCAGCATCAGCATTACCTGGGAACTTGCTAGAAAGGCACATTCTTAGGCCCCATCCCAGACCTTCTGAACCCGGGTGGGGCACATCAATCTGGGTCATAACAAGCCCTCCAGATTATCTGACGCATGCTCAAGTTTGAGAACTACTCTTCTAGCACGTCGTGTGCATTCACTCATTCAACACTCACAACAACCTTATGGGATGGGTGCTATTATCGTGTCCATTTTATGACTGAAGAAGTTGAGGGAAGTGATGAAGTTGAGAACTGAACCTAGGATTTCCAACTCGAGAGGGAAAGGTGACTTTGGTGTGTGGCTTATTTTTTAAAATGCCTGCCTCTCCACATTCACTTGTCACTCCTTCCCGCCCTCCCATGTGTATTCACTTTGAGAAGCTCCACCAGTATGACAGGCTGGCTCTCTCTCTGGTCCTTTTGAATAGTGCACTCCCTCTGCTGAGGCCGGACTTCTCCCTGTCAGTGTGCAAATCTCAGTCCTTGTGTGTCCTCAGGCCTGCCTTCCCCACCATCCCCTCCTTCCCCCATCAACTGGGAACAGTGCTGGACGTGAGTGCTTTCATGCTTCTTCCCCCACAGAAGTCTTGTCACTCCCCTGGTCTGGTATTCATCCCCTTGTATTGCAAATGTTGCTTTCTATGCCCCTCCCACCAGAACAGTGCTTCCAAAGAAGGCGGTTTACCTTTCTTCATTGTTTGTTCCCTCCCTGGCTTATGGCGAATACTTAATAAATATTTGACAAATGAGCGGCTGAATGAATTACTGTATGAATTTTTAAGCAGGAGTAAATTGTTCAGCTCTCTCTTTTAGGAAGGAAGATCTTGATAGCTATGTGGAACAAGACTGGGGGTAGGAGAGACTAGAGCAGCAGCTAGAGTCCAAGTTAGGAGAGGCATGACAGGAAAACGTGAGCTGGGGAGTGGATGCAAGAAGGTTTTTAAAGGAGGACTCATTAGACAAGGGAAGAAGTGTAAGGGGTAGATTTCTGGGGGAACAAAACGAGTGGGTTTATTTTAGGTTGTCAGGGGATAGCTGGAGATTCAAGTAGACAGAAATTCTGGCTCAGAAATATCTGGGCTGGAAGTACAGCTTTTGAAGTCATCTGTGCATAGTTGTATATGCATGAGCAAGACAGTGCTGGGAGAACCAGGGGAGGGTGAGGGGAAAGGCAGCGATCAAGCACCTACCTGTGCCAGACGCTGGCATTTTCACATTCGCGACGTAGGATAGCATAACACACCCTCATTTTCTCTTCACTCTTCCTCTTACTTAACCCTCCAGCAGTACCAGTCGCCCTGGAATTGTTGTTCATTTAGACTTATCTGCCTAGAGAGCCCCGTTTTTTACCTCCCTACCTGGCACCCTCTTCCTTGTCCTTCAGAACCATACCCAGACTTTTTCCTATAGAGGCCCTATAGTTGCCTCTTCCAAACCCCCATTCATTTGTCACCCTTTGCCACAGTGGTCTTTTGAAAATAAATGAATATGATACCAGCCCAAAGATCCTGTTTATGGCAGGTGTTGCCTTTCTCCCTAGCGGAACACCCTGTTTGAGATACCATATACTTCTTGATGTTTTGTGATGTATTTGAAGATTGCAGGAGATTCGCCTAGAAGTTCTAAAACAGCTGTTGAAAAAGCGTGATGAGAATCAAAATGAAGTGAACACGAAGCACTTGAACGCCCAGTGGTCTAAACTGCAGGAAGCAAAGGAGGCAAAGCTGGCACAAATTCAGCGTGCACACGTGTCAGGTAGCGGCGTGGCGTGCACAGTGGAGAGCGTGGAAGAGTTGGCTTTGCTTTGGATCTTTGACCAAACCTGATTTAACTATGCTATAATCCTTTTTGGGCCCTGGTGTTATTAAACGGGTAAGGGATGGGGGATGAGTTATGTTTCGAAAGTAGAAGAGTGGAGGGAAATTTCTCACCAAGAAGATCAAGTAATGATGTTCTAACAGGTAGTTGAGTTGTGGACATTTTGGGGCATGTGTGTGTAGGGGTCGGCTCCTCATATTCATGGGCTGGAACCCTGGATAATCCTGTTTCTCAGCCTTTTTTTCCTTATTGTCTCCTAACAGAGACATTGATATCTTTTTTTCTACTTGCCCCCTGCCCATGAAATTTTAATACCATCAATATGCTGTATATCTGCTTATGTACTATGTCTGTACTTTATACATAAGAGGAGCCAGTAGAGGATTAAGAATGACTAAATAAAAATTTTAAATAAAAATTTAAATTAAAAAATGTTTAACTTAGTAGTATTTAACTTAACTTTATAGCTATATTTGCTGAGTAAATTTTAATATACGGTAGTCCCCACTTATCCATGGGGAATATGTTCCAGGACCCCCAGTGGACGCCTGAAACCACGGATGGTACTCAGCCCTATATATGCTATGTTTTTTCCTGTACGGACATACCTATGATAAAATTTAACTTACGAATTAGGCACAGAAAGAGATCAACAATAACTAATAATACAACAGAATGATTATAACAATATACTGTAATAAAAGTTACTGTAGATCTTAGCAACCTCAATATATGATTCTTTTCCTTTCCTTATTAAGTCAAACTTTCACCTTTTCGCTTAAAGGAAGCACTTTATGGCTTCTCTTTGGCATATCCAAATTGCCAGCATTACTACTCTTGCACTTTTGGGCCATTATTAAATAAAATAAGGGTGACTTGAACACAAGCCCCGTGATACCACGACCATCGATTTGATAACCCAGAGGGCCACTAAGTGACTAATGGACAAATAGCAGATACACCATGGATGTGCTGGACACAGGGATGATTCATGTCCCAGATGAGAAGGAGCAGGACAGTGCAAGATTTCATCATGCTACTTAGAACAGCACACAATTTAAAAAGTTATGAATAGTTTATTCCTGGAATTTTCCATTTAATATTTTCAGACCACAGTTGACTGCAAGTAATCGAAACCATGGAAAATGAAATCACAGATAAGGGGGAACTACTGTAATTTATTTGCTTATAAAAATTATAATGTATCAATTGTATGTGCAAATTAGTGATTTATATACATAATAGGAATGTAATCACATTTAAAAAAATCATTCAAAATTGTTATTTTTCTAACAAAAGTAAAATAATTATAAAAATTAAATTAATTCCAGGGCTGGTCCAGTGGTGTAGTGGTGAAGTTTGCATGCTCCACTTTGGTGACCTGGGGTTCACAGGTTCAGAACCTGGGTGCTGACCTACACACTGCTCATTAAGCCACACTGTGATGGCATCCCACATACAAAATAGAGGAAGACTGGCCCAGATGTTAGCTCAGGGCCAGTCTTCCTCAAGCAAAAACAGGAAGATTGGCAACAGATGTTAGCTCAGGGCCAATCTTCCTTACCAATAATAATAATAATAATAATAATAATAATAATTCCTTAAAAATTATTTTTAGTGAACTTAACTTTTAACTTTTTCTTGATGTGAGAAAATAACTTTTAACTTAACTAGCTGCTAGGTATGCATTTAGATATTGTCAACATTTTTTCTTTTCAGTACTTAACATAACTAATGATGGGTTGACTTTTTGTTTTTTACTCCTCCTGTCCCTCTCTTCTGCCCTCTAGTTTCCCATCCAAGTACTAGCCAGGCCCGACCCTGCTTAGCTTCCAAGATCAGACAAGATCAGGCATGTTCAGGGTGGTATGGCCATAGACTCCCACCCTCTGGGATCACCTCCCAAATAAACTACCCGCAGGCACACCTTTGTCTCAGGCTCTCCCTTTGGGGGAACTGAGGCTAAGACACAACTCAAATATCACTACCTCAGAGAGGCCCTCCAGGACCCCTCAGATAAGTCAGGGCCCTGTTACCTGTTCTCACTGTTATATGCACCTGAACTTTTTGTGTGCGTGAGAAAATAACTTCTAAGTTAACTAGCTACTAGGTATGCATTTAGACATTGTCTACATTTTTCCTTTTCAGTATTTGACATTACTAATGATAGGCTGACTATCTTTTGTAGATAAATAATAAAAATGCAAACTGTTTTTATTTACTTCTAAAACCCCAAGTAACACACAAAAGTGCTGAGGATCAAACATAAACAACATCCATCAGGCAGCAGGGGCACATGCAGGGGCACGTGCACCCCTAGCAGTGTGACTTCACAATCGCGATGTGGTCTTACAGCCATTGGGTTGCATAGTGCAGAGCCTTCCAAAGGGGATGGGCTGTGACAGGAATGGAGGAGGAGCAGGAGGAGGCAGGAGCATGCCTCCTTGATGAGCAGACTCCTGACGGGCACCCCTGAGCTCTTTCCCTCAGACTGCCAGACAGTTCTGAAGGCTGCAAGCTGGGATCCATTCTGCTTTATTTCAGTGTTAGCCAAGATGGACAGAGATGATCGAAGAACCTCTTGCCTTCTCTTTCTCTTTTTTTTCTTTTTTAAGAGATCATTCATTTCTTCTTTATATACGTGTTTTTTCCTATAACTTATTTTTTTAAATTGAGTAACATTGGTTTATAACATTATATATGTTTCAGGTGTACATCATTATATTTTGACTTCTGCATTGACTACATCATGTTCACCACCAAAAGTCTAGTTGCCATCTGTCACCATACACATGTGCCCCTTTACCTCTTTCTTCCCTCCCTTTTAATTATTCTCCCGGAGAGAATAACTCTCCTAGTCTCCACTGAACATATATTTTTCAGTTACTTTGAGTTTCTTTCATTCATTTAACAAACTTTTATCGAATACCTCTTCTTGGCCCAGAACTTGGAATGCAGTTATAAAAGATTTTTGATGAGTACTAGTTAAGGACACTAGCTGATTCAGCTTGTCACTCCCACCTGTCTCATCATAATCTGGGCTGTGCAGATGCCCTCTGATTTTAGTGTCACATTCTGGCTACAGTGAGTGGTCATCATGAAACTCATTCAGTTCAGTAACTTCCCTGTGAATAAAACTAGAACTGGTTTACTATTCTGCATTTGGATCATTCAGAACAATATTTTGGAGATAGTCATGGAGGTATGTTTTGTTTTAGCAATCAGAAAACTTATGGGAAAGGGAAAGAATATAGAAGGAAAGTTGGAGAGAAGAAATATCATCAAGGATTATTCTGATTATGCATCACAGGTCTATGGACCTCTGTCACGCCTTGGTCGTTTCCCAGACAACAACTCAGAGGACTTTGTAGTAAAAAACCTCTATCTCAACACCTATGAAGGTAAGTAATTTAAATAACTGCAAATCTAGTATAAGAGGGTTATCTTAGAAATGTAAATTAAATATATAAAATATAGCAATTTAATTTAGATTAAAAGCTAAACAACAAATAAAAATGAGTAAGAAATAGCAAGGAATACATTTAATATTATTAGTCAGTTCGTACAAACCAACAAAAACTATGAAGACCCAAATAAATGGATACACTATACAAAAATTCATCAAGGAGTAAACTCAATTAGCTCCTAAACATTTAAACGTTTAATATCACTAATAATCAAAGTTATGCAAAAACGAAATAGAAAAAGCTTTTATACCAACGTTATGAAGCAAACAAGAAATATATAATGAAGTCAGCCCTTTAAGAAGAAATGTCAGAAGACTAGTGGGCAACAGGATGGATAAGCAGTGGATAAGTTTATGGGCGGGGCTATACCTGTTATAAAGTCTGAGAGGCTTATTTAAATTATTTAAATTTCAGTTGACAAGTTGAAACATCACGTGGCCAAGATCATGAGTTGATGGTCACACTGTTGAACGTGTGGACCATCTCCAGAGCAAGATATGATACGTCGGTGTACATTCACTTTGGAATGGTGGTGCCATGTATCATATGATCGTTAATTTTCTATTGGTTATTATTGTGGAATTTATTACCTTTTTGTAGGGCAGTGTTTTCATTTTAGAATGCATTTCTCATTTTATAGTCTAAGTCACTGAGAACATGAGTTAATTATACAGAAATCTGCCTTACATTTTGGGGACAATTCAATTATATGAGATACACCTTATCAATAATTCCAAATGAAACCACTTGGCAAACAGCTACTAAAATCAACAATATGCTTTCAAAATGCTAAACTTAAGCGCCAGATGCTAAAAACATGTACTTCCTTCCCATAGGATTAGTCGAACTTGAGTCATGTCTCCCGGATTTTGTGACTCAACCCCGCATCAGACCTCCAAAACCCAAAGTCACTACCACCAAAGCTGGCTTTCTAAAGAGGGTAGCAAGGATGGACCATGAGCTGGCAGAAGTTCATAAGGTATAATCCTTATCTGGACGACAAGATGCTTCTAGTGAGAACTTTGCAGAGAAAACCTCCATCTCAGAAATTGCACCGTGTCTTAAGCAGCAGTGTCCAGCAGTTCTCAACACATAACTCCTTGCCTGTGCTGTGCGGAACCAATGTGGTTTTTTTGTCTCATTTCAAACTGTAGGAAAACATTTTGTAGGTTATTCTGCCCATTTGCAGAAGTCATGTTACTTTCTAAAACTGGTTCTGACTTTGGGTCTACATACTAAAATCTGACACTACATTGAGGAGTAGCACATTTCTAGTGTTAGGAATTACTATTGGTTTTAATAGTGTAATAGGCCTCATTTTCTCCCTTTTAGATTTGTTAACAGAGCATCAGGAAGAAAGAGAGTCATGTTCAACCACTTTCTCATTTAGTTTAAAACTCAACTAAATGAGACAGTTACATGGTCATCCCCACAAACCAACTACACAGCAACCACCAGCTGGTTTTCTCTGTTGTTAATTGGACTATAGGTGTAGACTTGGATACTTTAGAATTCATGATTGTTAATAGTGGTGTTCAATCTTTAGCGTGCATCAGAATCACACGGACGGCTTGTTAAAATGCCTGTTGCTGGGCCCCATTCCCACTTCCCGATTCAGTAGGTCTGGGGTGGGACTGGAGTATTTGTATTTTTTACGTTTCCAGGTGATGCTGATGCCACAGGAGCCACACTTTGAGACTCACTGGTTTATGACATACTCTCATCACTGGTCCATGCATGTTTGTTCAGTTGGTTTTAGTATTAGAATAAGAATCCATGAGAGTCCATACTCAAGATAAAAATTAGGACTTTGACAATAATTATGTATATCTATGTGGTTCTTTCCCACCTCATCCCTTTGTCTCCATCTACCCATTCTGAAGTCTATGTTCATCATTCTGTCACTGTCTGTAAGATTTTTTTCATACACTCTTTATTAGGTTATGGAAATTCCCTTCTATTTCTGATTTACTGAAGCTTTTAATCATATATTTATGTTGAATTTTATCAAATGTTTTGTTGTATCTATTGAGGTAATTATATATTTTTTCTTTTTAAAATTATTATTATGGTAAGGAAAATTTATAATTTTTCACAGGTATCCTTACATACCTGGCATGAACCTAATGTGGTCAAGGTGTATTATTTTTAATACAGTCATGCATCACTTAACAACAGGGATACGTTCTGAGAAATGCGTTGTGAGGCCATTTTGTCGTTGTGCAAACATCAGCGAGTGTACTTACGCAAACCCAGATGGTATAGCCTACTACACACCTAGGCTATGTGGTACTAACCTTATGGGACCGCTGTCGTCTATGTGGTCTGTAGTTGACCAAAACATCATTATGTGGTGCATGATTGTACATTGTTGGATTTGGTTTGCTAATATGTTGTTCAGAATTTTTAGCTCATGTGGAAGAATAAGAGTTTGGGGTTTTGCTTGCAGACACACGTGACAGAACGTTTTGAAAACTTTTCATTTTAAAATCTTCAAAATCTTTTGATTAAAATGGATACGCCTGGAACGTGTGCTGTGCATATTCAGTGGTTAATTTCTCCTTAGGAACATCACAGCATCCCTTGAGAGATACAAGCACCCTGGTTTGGCCTTTCTCAAACTGTCCTAGCATAGCCATAGAGAAGATTTTTCTTTCGGTTTTTTTCTTAAAGATTGGCACCTGAGCTAACAACTGTTGCCAATCTTTTTGTTTGTTTTCTGCTTTTTCTTCCCAAATCTCCCCAGTACATAGTTGTATATTTTAGTTGTGGGTCCTTCTAGTTGTGGCACGTGGGACACCGCCTCAGCGTGGCCTGACCAGTGGTACCACATCCCTGCCCAGGATCCGAACCTGTAAACCCTAGGCCTCAGAAGTGGAGCGCTCGAACTTAACCACTCAGCCACGGGGCCGGCCCTGAGAAAATTATTTCTGATTGATAGTCAGGTCTGTGGCCTAAATCTGGTAGTGGAAGAAAATACAAAGGTATGGAATGACACTAGTTGGTGTTATTGCAGGTACTGTTGGAGAAGAAGAATAAGGTTCTTGAACCAAAGAAACCTCCGCGCTTTCTTCAAAGAAAGCTAATTCCCCAACCTCGGCTCCCAACTCCAACCTTGGAAATGGGCTCCAATGTAAGTTTGAAACTTTTCCATTTGAAATGCTAAATTCGGTATTGCTGTCTGTTTATTCTTAGGATAGTTTGGGTTAAAGACAAACCTAATTTAACAGTGTTAATTTCCCTAGATCTGACTTATGTTGCCTTTATTTTTATGTTTCAAACATCACACCACACACACACACACACACACACAAACAAGCAAAAGAAATGAAATCAAATCAAATCTAAACCCAGTCCTTTTCAAGAATACAAAATATTCTCAAGAGAAATAGGTGTCAGAAGGTAATTCTCATGTATGTTAAATAAAAAAAGAAGATCAAATGATGATCAGTTATCATAACTCTTCCCACATGGGGAAGTGGCTGATAACAGCTGGAGTCGGAGAGGAGCAGAAGGCCAGAGGTGTGAGGCTGGCTTCTGAGGTTAGACTGGCTGAGAGTTCACCCTGACCAGGGCGTACCTCACCTTCATAGATCCCCAAACTCAGCCTGGGCAAGGTACCAGAGCTGGTTAGGATTTAGACTGACTAGGACTAAACAAACCAACAGGAAACTGCTAGAGATGCCACAATGCAAATTTACTGACTTTTGGAGAGAAATAGAACTGCCTGGTGGATCAGGATGTTCCTCTTGGCAGGCCAGCCCATATCTCCCAGGACAGGGCCATTCTCAGAAGAAGCCAAATTGTATTCAGAAAGTTGTTCTGCTCTGTCAGAGGGAGGGGAGTTGACAGGAGATCTCACTCACGCCTCTGATGGGTCAGCTCTGTGGAGGGACTGGAATGCTCCCACTGACTGGCCTGGAGGTACTTCTGGACAACATCCCCTTTTCTAGGCTTCGCGCTGACCACTGCCTGGGGTTAACATGGTGACTTTCACATGTGTGCATGCCGTTGATTTGACTGTTGCTTTCTTTTGCATTCAGAGGCATCTTAATTAGATTTGCAGGCTCTGCTCTTTCTGCTTTTGAAACATAATTATTTACGGTAATTTTTGCAGATGGCTAATCTTGTCCATTATATCCTGATTTTCCCAGCTTGAATAAATTCTTATGAGAAGCACCTCACTCTAGACTGTGACATAGACTAGCTGTGTTCTTTGTCTACTCATGATCAAACATGAAAAAACTATTGCAAAAGGGATGTTATAAGCAATACTTGCGCTTCAAGGAGAATTTGCTGGAAAGGAGTATAGAAAAACGAAAATGGCTTATTTTTCAGGGATAGCATGACTGGGTTAATTTTTTGCTCTTGATATGATTTGTTAATATCTTATTTCTGATGAAAAATAATAATGAATTTTAGCAACGCAGTAAGTGACACTGAAAATACTTTATGTTCATTGAGAGTAGGGACCATGTTTGATTTCTCTTTAAACCCTCCGGCATCTAGCACAGTCTCTTTTTCTTGATGTAAGTCTTCAAAAAGATATTTGATGCTGACTGCCGCTCTTCTCAAGCTGGTTGGTTCTCCCTTTGTTCTTTTAGGAAGAAGAGGATATAGAAATGGCTGTGATCTACCTGCAAAAGTTACTCCGAGGCAGAGTCGTTCAGAACATGGTATGGACGGTCCAGCCGCTGGCCCCGTGCTGCTTCTCTGAGGATAGATTTAGAGGATGCATATGTGCTGGTTCCTTGGGGTGAATTCCCTCTTGCACCTTGCTGTCCTGAGGAACTATGCTCTTGAATCACTTACCCATTCCCTTCTATGGCCATAGTTTGTCCAGGTGGGTGGCATAGTGTCAAGGGGAGAAGGGACCTGCCAGCTGTTTGCCACAGTTGTAACCAAGGCAATGCGAAACTAAAGTCGTCCTTTGAATTGCTAAATCCACCAGTTTTCTTACCTGAATATTGACTGTTCAAGCCTCACAAACCAAGTAGATTCCCTGATTTTCCACAAAGTCATAGTAAAATTATTTGTTTACATATAGCTAGCAACGCCTGCATAATAAATGAAATATCTAAATAATAATAACTACAGTTTTGAACCCCTACTATATTTTCGCATTATACATTCTTTGCTTTTCATATATAATCTCATTTTTTTTTCTATCAATTACTCCATTTTATAAGCAAGTAATGTGAGTCTGAAAGAGATTATGTAAACTGCCAGCAAATTCAACTCTGGTCTCCTGACTGTAAAGCCTTCACTGGATTATCTGTGCTGCTAGAGCAAGCACACTTACTTACTTCAATTTGAAAATGGACTGATATAAAGTCCCAGCTACAAAGCTTTTTCTCCCCAGACAGCTCGAACTCTTAAGAGGCTCAGTGATGATGAGGATGTCTGGGAAGCTGGGGGAGCATCTTGTGCTCAGCATTATTCTTTACTCTCCTTCCAGTTTTTTCCTAGGAGAAATACCACCATTAAGTTCAGACAGCGGGTTATGTGTTTCAAACCAGGGGCAGACCTCTTGGAGAAGAAAATACGGCCATGAAAAATCCCAACCCCAGGCTTCTTAGGGAAGGAGCACAGGAAACGAGGGGAAGGTTCTAATTTCTTAATACGACCTTATAGTTGTCACCTTGTCTTTGAGAGCCATTTTAAGAAATTGAGTAAACAACTCTCTGATCACTAAGCTCCTTCTCTGCCTGAGCAGCTGAAGGAGAAAACAGGGCTGGATTCCAGCTCTGTGGAACATACCTGCTCTGTGTCCCAAAAGGCAGAACAGAACCCACTGTTCACAAGTGCCTCATAGATCACTGCGTGCACATCCTCGTGCCTGGCACAAGGGATACTAATTTGCAAGTCTCTCTTTGATTTGATACAGATGTTTGAAGGGAAAGAAAAGCGACTGGAGTTGATCCAGGAGCTGCGCACGAGCCACGCACTACAGGAAGATGACAGGCTGGTGAAGAAAGCCGAGAAGCAAGTCACCCTGGCCTTGCAACGCCAGAGGAACTTGCATGAGCACAAGGTTCTTCCGTTTTCTTTCTTGTTACTTTCTTCTTACATTTTCGCCCTTGAGTTTTATTATTGCACATGCAACGTTATAATAACAGTAAGTATGATGATGCAAAGGAAGCATCCCGGAAATCCTACCACTCTGTCACCATCAGCATTTTTAAACAATGCCTCTGCAGCCCATAATTTGAATGGGGTGTGTCCTCACTGATTTGAATATGGTCTTTCTTTCTTTGCAATAAAAAAAAAAAGGAAAAGAAAAGAAAGCCCACTTTTCTTTTTTTAAAGATTTTATTTTTCCTTTTTCTCCCCAAAGCCCCCCGGTACATAGTTGTATATTTTTAGTTGTGGGTCCTTCTGGTTGTGGCATGTGGGATGCTGCCTCAGCATGGTTTGATGAGCGGTGCCATGTCTGCGCCCAGGATCCAAACTGGCAAAACCCTGGGCTGCCGAAGTGGAACATGCAAACTTAACCACTCAGCCACTGGGCTGGCCCCGAAACCTCACATTTTAAAAGGATTTTCCTTCCAATTTTTCTTAAATATTTATTGACTCAACTATATTTCAGGGGGAGCTAAGCAGAATGAATAAGTAATAAAAGCAATAATAAAAAAGTGAAAAATGAGATTTATTTTAAAATAGCACTTATTTGTAAGTTTTGGAGCTGCACACAGCATGCTGGTTAAACTGCATATTCAATATGTTAATATCTCATGATCTTCTGGGACTGTCATCATGGCCTCTAAGCTCTGTGTCATCTGACAATGGCTGGTATTTGCAGTTCTGACCCAACAACTGTAAATATTTTTCCTTTTCTGGCATTTGTCTATATTTACACAGTTTTTAATGTTATCGACTTCACCGTAAATACACTTTTACTATCTCTCCCACTTGTCTGTAAATCAATGTGAAAAAGAATTGGTTTGCACAGAGTGTAGTCTTAGGAGAAAGTAAACTTACGGCAGAGTTGACGTGACCCATCTTTGGTAACACACGTAACTCCCGTGCTGTGTGGGATTGGGCACAAATGGTAAGCAGCTTGGAAACGCGCACAACGTTATTCCTCTTACATGACAGCGGGACTCTGAATGGTCCCCGAGTGTTGGCGAGTTGGTGTGGGGGAGGGAGGGTGAAAGTTACAGGCCATGCGACCCAACAGAGAGACCAGAGAAAGCAGAGAGCGTGGACACTGGGGTCTCTGAACCTGGAGGTCTGAGAGCTGTGGAGACGATGGAGCTGGGGCTGCGCTTCTGTTCAATAGTGGGCAGAATGCCCTGGAAGCACCAGGTCTCAGGACCTGGATGGAAAAATGCCTTCCTGGGGCCTTTAAGGTTTCTTTCTTTCTTTTTTTCTTTTGGTGAGGAAGATTGTCCCTGTGCTAACATCTGTGCCAGTCTTCCTCTATTTTGTATGTGGGACGCTGCCACAGATGAGCCGTGTGGAGGTCCACACTCAGAATCCGAACCCAGGCCGCAGAAGTGGAGCGCATGAACTCAACCATTGTGCCACAGGGTCGGGCCCTCCTTTAAGGTTCCTGATTACAGACTTTACCAGATGCAGCTGAGCCAGTCCAGGCTTTTCAACTCCTCTGTCCCGTTTAGTGGATAAATGCTTGACTGCTATGTTGGCTAAGAGCTAAGGGAGGAGCTAATGAGAAGAGCGGTCACTTGGCCAGGGACTGACCCTGCTCCCCTGCAGCTGTACCTGGATCCGCCAGTGACATGCAGGGGTCTGAGGGAGTGGGCACCTCACATACCCCTACAGCAATGCTGAGTCTCTCCTTTTCTCCTCTTATATTTTTGTGGAAAACAGCCCGGAAAATGCACGGTTCCCAATTATGTAATGCATGACGTGATATGATCACAGCAAACTCACCTTCTTAAATGTTTTTACTTAATTTTCAAATTAGATTGTACTACCTGAGTATACCCAAATTTCTTGCCGAGAGAGAAGGCTAGACCTGAACAGGGAGCCATCTCGGGACTTTAAAGGTTGCATCTGCCTCTGAGCAAGGGAGCTTGTGATCCCAGGAGACAGGCGAGAAAGCGTTTGTGATCTCTGGGCTGAATGACACTGTTGATAAATGTAAGGAGCATCTTAGTCTCGCCCTTTCTTTCCACCTCTCCCTATTATAGATGTAAAGCTGAACTTTGTGGTTAGAAAGTATGTGTGCGCAGGGAGGTGATTAAGGATGAAGATGAGGGTGTTGGGGTCAACAACCACACTTGAATGGCCGTCTCACCCAGTAGCCACACCACCTTTGAGACCTGTAGGGGCTTCCTGCCTTCAGATACAAAGCAGAGTGGAACTGAGCACAGAGGGAGTGCTGTCAGTGCGACAGCAGCCTGTGACTGGGCGAGGAGCTCTTTTCCCTTATCCCCGAGGATAGAAGAGGGAACAGGATGAAGCTGCAAAGGATGCAGTCTTCTTCAACACTTACTCTCCACGTGTCAAAGCAGGACAGAGGGATCCATCAATCGATACTGTGGCTCATTCCTGGCCGGGAACTCTGGGCTCCTATTTTACCTCAATAATTACACAGACAGGTAGGCTTTTTCCGGCTGTGTTTCAAAGATAGCTCTTAATGACTTTGAATTTATTTAAAAGAATGAAAAGTTACCACAGTTATCTACTTTCATGTTATTCAACATCTTAAAATTCCTCAAACTTGTGTTAAAGGACCAAGCATTAACAAATTAAAAGGTATCATGAGTGAATTTCTAGGAGAGTCTATTTTATTGAACTCCAATATTATCTTTTAATAAAAACCTTGACATTTCCCTTCATGTCTGGGAAGACACAAGCATTTTACCTTCTGGATAAAATGTTCTTTAGAAACATTCTGTGTGGATGCTAACAGCAGTGTTTTGCTAAATCCTCTTCATAACTGAAGACTGTAATCCCTCAGTGACTGATGAAGCCATCTACTTTCTCGTGTCTACGTTTGCATCATAAGTTTTCCTATTAAGAACCCTTGGGATCGGGCCAGTCTAGGGATAGTATTCCTATTGAAAACTAGGTACATTCTGAAAGTAAAGTGGCTGTCAAGAGTTCTGGGTAACCCAGCATCCCTCATTATAAATCACCATTCTTAGTGGGATTAGTATCCTTACAATCTTATTATTATTTTCCAGGTGTCACTGGTGGAAAACCATTTGGCTGGACTGGAAGGAAGGGTGCTGGCAGACATGTTTGACTTCCTGTCCAAAGAGCTGGTGAGACTACAGGAAGAGAGGAGGATCCATGCCTTCGCCATGCTGGCCGAGCGACAGCGGAGGATGCGGGAAGCCGAAGAGAGTGGTCGGCGCCAGGTGGAGCAAAGGCGCCTGCGGGAGGAGGACCAGATATTTAAGGAGGCAAGTGCAGGCGGCTGGATGGCTGGAAGCTGTTTGTAAGGAGCCAAGTCAAACCAAAGGAAACTCATGATATAAAACGGCAGTTGTTTTGCTTTTCATTGTATTCAACAGATATGTGTTGGCTTCCGGCTATATGCCAGGCACTGGGCAAAGGCATTGTGTGATACTTTGGAGGGAAAAACCAGACATGGTCCCTTCTCTCCTGGAACTTAAATACTATATAACATGCAAGTAAGAGTAGAATTAGAAAATGTAATAAGTTTCTTGAAGGAGACAAATGGGGTCCAGTGACACATTTAAACGGGTTACTTTGCTTGCTGTGAGGAGAACAGGTTGGAGGGAGCACAGGCTGGACATGAGGAGACCGGGAAGGAAGCTGTTGCAGTAGTTTAGGCCAGAGCGAGGAAAAGGGAGAAGTGAGTATGACATCCAGTTTCTGGCTTGAGCAACTGGGAAGATGATGGTACTATTTCCTGAGGTGGGAAAGCTGAGAGTGGCATAGGTTTCTGGGCAGGGGCGGAATCAGGAATTTGTTTTATATTAAGTTTGAGGGATCTTAGTGGAGGTGTCATTTCAGCAGATGGATATACAAGGTGGAATTTAGAATAGAGGTTTTGGCTAGAGAGATAAACCTGAGAGCGTACTAGGTTGTTAAATTAGAATTCTGACCAAGACACAATGGATGTGAAATTCCCAAGTGACCAAGATGCAAACTGAGAGGGAAGTCAAGGAGCCAGTGATATCTCCACACACTCTTGTCCTCATCGAGAATCGAAAAGCTCACGTGCTACAATTGGAGGGGATGTGTGAGAAGATTTCTTTAGAGGGAGCTGTGCTGTGACTAATACTCCCCCTAAAAACACACCCCGAGGTTGGGGGGACCTCCTTTTCCTGTAGTGATTGGAGAGCTTGATCTGCATTCTTTCAGTGAGGGTGTCTGACCCCCTAGAAATGGAGAGGAGGGAGCTGGGCTCGCTGGCTGCTTTGGAAGTGGGCACAGAAGAGGCTGCATGGGTGGCCAGCATGCCCAGAATATGTCAGGGCAAAGCCTGTGTGAGAATTTCCCTTGGACCAGATGTGGGCCACAGGGGAAAGTGAGGAATTTAAAAAATTCCTGTCCAAGAGGGCTGTCTCAGTTGTATATGTGGATACCTTTGAGCTCCTCAGATTAAAAAAAAAAATACTATGTCAATTTGGAGTCTTCTTATTTGATCTGAGGTTTCAAGGATTTACCGATTCCTGTGGAATTAGGATTGATCCCTGAATAGTATTTGGTGTGTGTTTTTTAAATTAAAAAAAAATTGGTTAAAACTAAACAGATTGCCCTCTCTCTATACAGCTTAAGAAGTTTGGGGTTATATGTTGTGAAGTTCAGCTTCTTAACTGGAGTGGCAGATCATTTACAATGGGTAACAGCCTATAATAATTCATATTCTAGCTTCCTACCATCCTAACATATTTTGCTTCAAAAAGAGTTACTGAGTAGAAATTATTAGCAAACCAGAACTTACTATCCCCTACCTAATATCACTAAGGAAAACCCAGTGGGGTAGGAAGAGCCAACGAGAGTGAGAATGGAAAGGAAAGGGACAGAGGAGCCCCTGTGCCCAAAAACATGGGAGGGAGGAGCAGGAAAGGGCTTCTGGGAAGGTATATTCTGAATGGGAACGACCAGGACATGTCGGCCATGTCAAGGAAGGGCAAGGAAGGGTTAGGGGGACCCTTCCAGCCTGATTTACAGATCATTTCTGTAAAGAATGTAGCCAAATGGACCCAAGATTCAAATACCATCCATCATTTAAATTCCCAATCTCCCTTCTTACAACCCTCTTAAAGATGAACATGCTTGCACATAAATATACCAAAACACAGAAATGTATACATTAAGTAAATTTCCAGAAAAATAACATATGCATATTGAGAAACATAGACAAAGTCATAAACTCACATTTAAACACATACACACTTTTGCATGCACATGCGCAAAGATAATCCAGTGTACACAATATTAGCAAGCAAAGACTTGGAGGAACAATCATATGGCTACCTATGTTTCCTGGTTCACTCATGGACACACAAGCACAAATGCATCCAGAAACTTACACATTTATAGAGATATATGTAAACACACAATTACATATAATGCTAGAGGTGGACCACAATAAACTTCCCATCTCTGGGTATTATAAGACTCGGCTGTCTAATTGTTCCATACAGGTGCAACTTGCTTCCTGAATAAGAGTGCTCTGCGAGAGCAGGCACGTTGCACATCCCTCCGTGCCTTCCACAGCACCAGCATGGATCCCTGTACATAATAGACATGGAGCAAATATACTTTGGTTGGCTGGTTGCTTGGTTGAGACTGTATTAAACTGGTCATTGGGTCTCCCCCACAGGGAAGGCAGAGGGACTCACGGCCACGGACTCGGCGTGTGGTGGGGAGATATAAAGTAAACCTCACGTACTCAGAGTCCTGCTGCAGTGCCAGTCGAGAAACGGGCTGAGTTGTTACTGAGTCCCAAGCATTATCTCAGATACAAAGAAATATTCAGACATGAAATAGAAAAGTGCCCTCCCCCCATGGAGCTCCGAATCTGTCGAGGAGTCGGGATGCAAACAAAACTAAGTGTGCTGCACTGGGTGCTCACGGTCCTTCCTGTGTGTCCACCTGTAAAACAGGCAAAACTAAATTGTGCTGTTGACAGGTGCATACTCAAGGAGCAAAACTCTGAAGAAAAAGAAGTGTTTACCATAAAACCATGAGAGTGGGAAGGGGCGGTGGTGAGGAGGAAGCCACAGCGGCCTGCTGGGATCCTGGCAGTGGCTGCACGGGTACTGGCTGTACCCTAGTTCATTACACTGTACATTGAGGTACTCTGCACCTCTCTAAATGTGTATTCTATTTCACAGTTTCAGGAAAGCTTTAACAAGAAGCAGCCCAAGGTTGATATGATTGTTCAAAAATTTCATCAGAGACCTAGGTTCCTTCTAGCTTTCTGCTTTTCTCTCCCTAAGGCCTGGCCGTCATGGCAGTTTAAGATGACTTCTGGTGCTCAGCATTATGTCCCTTTGAAATGAAAAGAGAAGAGAAAAATAAGCTGTCTTTCCCTTTAAGAATCCTTTCTAGAAAGTGCAGAGATCACTTCTGCTTATGCTATGGACTTTGCCACAACTGTGGGTGCTGGGAAAGGCAGTCTTCATTCTAGGCGACTGTTGGCTCAGCTAGAGCCCAGGGTTCTGTTATGTAAGAGGAAGAAGAGAAGGAAAATTGGGAAATATCTCTTAGTCTCTGCCACAGTTAGGTAGTTTGACCAGGTCACACTGCTGGGGAGAACAAAGCCAGGATCTGAAACAGGGTTCTTGACTCTGAAGCCCATGATCTTTCTGCGGTGTTGTATTGCCCACCCCGAATAAGACTCATATTCTAAAATGGGCTCGATGGGTGTGGGCCGCCCAGAATGGGTAGGTGGGTGGGTTGCAAACAGACTGACTAGAGAGTGAAGAAAAGGAATGATTGGTGAGGGGACTGTTGACTTAATGGGCAAAATAGATGTGCTCACAAAAGGCCACCCATGTTGGTGCCTTTTTCTTCTTTCCAGTAGCAATGCTCTTCTCAGTAACTGGGGTCTTTTTGGTTTTCACAGGTTCTTAAAGTTCACCAAAGTACTGTAACTTCCTATCTGGAAGACATAATACTGAACACCGAAGAGAACACTGCAGAAGAACAAGCCAGGGCAGAAATTGAGAAGGTGGCTAAGGAAATTAATGACATTGCTTATGAAATGGAGAGCCGGTGTGTACCAAGGGAACAGGGGGTAGAATGGACAGCCCATTCGCTGTTACTCATGTGCATTTTTCAAGAGCTTAAGATTTCACGTCCAAGGAGAAACAAATATGTAGCTCACGCTTCAGTGTCCACTGTTTTATTAGCACAAGTCTAGAAGGCAACGTGCCTGTTCTTTCGCACGACAAGAGCATTGGGAACAGACTGTTCGGTAATCCTCTGTAATCTGGATCCCTTCCATGTTGCTTATGGTTAGAACAGCAGGAAAGCAATGTGAATAAGGATGTGCAACGTTACTGGGACTTCCCCCCGAGGTTTTTGGCTTCCACGTATAAGTTGTATCGCTCACATTCCCTTCCTGGCAGGAAAGGTAAATGAAGGACAGGGTCAAATCTGAATTTCCCATGGTTTTAACCAAGCTCACCAGGAGTATATTTCAGATCACTTAATCAAGGAAAAGGCGAGTGGACTTCCTCACACGAGCAAGGAGGATCCAAGCATAAAGTGGCAGCTCAAGTAAGGCAACAAAGGAATAGTTTAATTTGTTTTTTATTTTTCAGTCGAACTCAGCTCCAGTCAGAGGAGATTGTCGCAGAGTTGGTTTATAGTTTCTTGATCCCAGAGGTGCAAAAGAACTTTGTCAAAGAAAAAGGTGAGCCAATGTAAATGCTCCACTTTATGATTTTTTTGAGAGATATAAATTATTTTCAGTATCCCAGAGATTTAAACCTGAGCAAGGGCGTGGGGAGATTTCTGAAGGAGAATCCCTGAGGTTTCTTATTTCAGAGGTTGTCGAGTTCTCTTCAGGCTGATTCCAGAACAAAAAGGGAAAGTTCCCAAGTTCTCACAAGAGGTGTTTTTGTTTTTTGTTTTTGTTATTTTTTGCTGAGGAAGATTGGCCCTGAGCTAACATCTGTTGCCAATCTTCCTCTTTTTGCTTGAGGAAGATGGTCCCTGAGCTAACATCTGTGCCAGTGCTCCTCTATTTTGTATGTGGTTTGCCATCACAGCATGGCTTGATGGGCAGTGTGTAGGTCTGCGCCCAGGATCCAAACCCGCAAACCCTGGGCCACTGTAGCAGAGTGCATGAACTTAACCACTACACTACTGGGCCAGCCCCGAAGAAGTGTATTTTTTGATTTGATTTTTTTAACATAAGTAAATGTTGAGAAGATGCAGGATTTTCACATGGTAGCACCTTTCAGAGGCGGGCACATGGAGGTGGGCGTTGAGAAGCAGGGATGCCTGGGAGCCTGCGTCTACTTGGCTGCTCTGCCTGTGCCACAAATAGCTCCTGGGTCTGCCAGGACTGTGTCTAAGTATAAATATCCTCATTAATCATGCGTCAAAAGTGAGTGGCATGGTTTTGAAGATTGATGCTTTTAGTCAATAGAGAAGAAGAGAAAAAATATGTCAAAAAAAGGAATATTCTTCTAGAGCTCTCAGACTATTGGTGACAGATCTGATCCCAGAGGGAGGGGTGTACCTGGGAGAAGACTAATATTTATAAGTGAAATGATGGCTCGGAATGTTTCAGAGTTATGCATGGGAATTCTGGAGGTTTAAGAGAAAAGTGTGTAATATTTCAGATCACTTAACCAAGGATAAAGGAATGGTGGCGTTCTAATGCATTTGAAGAGAACAAAGAAATATCTTATTTTTCCATTACATGATTGTACTGTAATTTTTAAGCCAGTACTGTCTAGCAATAAGTATTTAGTTTGTTTCCAGTGTGTTTTCCTATAAACAGCAGTGCTGCAATCAATATATTTTCCACATATCCTGGTCATGTTTCTGAGAGTAAATTCTAGCAGTGCAGTGCTGGAAATAGGATGTATGCATTTTACATTTTGATAGATGCTACCAAATTGCCCCCACAAAAAGACTGTTCTAATTCATACACCTGTCAACAGTGTGTAATAATACCTATAGCAACAAAATTTAATTTCCAGATTAAATAAATATTTGTGTCACCTATGTTATAAAAGGGATCTTGTATTTTCTAGATCCTTAAGAAAATGCTCAACTCTTTTTCACTTCTCCCAGGCCTGAAGTGAGATCAGCCTGCTTCAGATAAATTCCACCTGAGGGAAGTGAAGGAGGGGGAAGTAGTGTGTTGAATAGTTCCTAGTTTGTGACCCCTCCCCCAGCTCCTTGAGCTGAGGGGGCACTTGAGCTGAAGGAATCCAATGGGACTTGTCTGTGGGCAAGTGGGTGAGTTCTTAGCCTCTTCCTCTGTGTTTATGCCAAATCAAGAAAGCCACATGGACAGGGAGCACACGCTAGGACCTTTAGTGTCTCTCTTAAAAAAAAAGAACCATATGTATTATATATACCCTTTACCCCAAATTAAGCAAATATTGTATAAAGACCATTTGGAGATATCTCATTTTTTAAAAAGCTGATGGATGGAAACACCTTGAGGATACCTGTATATAAATGTAAAATAACAATTACTCCCAAATTTTAGATGCATGTTAGGTTCCAGACAACGTACTAAGGATTTTTAAAGGTACATTATTTCAATTTCTTCTAACAGCTGTAGATGTGTTCTCATTTTTCAGTTAAGGAAATTAGAGACATTCTACGACATGCATATTTGAACCATGGTCTGTATGGCTCCAAAGCCCCCATTCTTTCACCCCTACTACTGGGAAGTGCTATAAGCTGCTGTATGATTTACCCTATGTAAACTGGCTGAGACTTGAATAGCACAGAATCCACAGTACTTCTGTCTTTTACTAGCTGTGTGACTTTGGGCAAATTACCTAATCTCTCTGTGTCTCAGTTTCTTCATTTGAAAATGGGGATACTAATAATACTCTCTTTAGGGTGTGGGGTGGTTTAAATGAATAATTACATGCCAACTGCTTAAAACAGAGTCTGGTATACAGTAAGGACAAATGCTAACTGCTAGCATCATCATCATCATCATGATTATTCCTTTCCAAGGGAAGTGGGGTGCTTAACATACTAAGCCTTGATAATAAATATTCTTAGAATATGGAGCTAGGACCACCTTCTAAAGCCATGAGCTCAGAAACTCATCATCAATCAACAGGTGCCTTCCATGTTAGGAAGTGAAGCTCAAGGAGAAGTATGAGATAGGGTCTTTACCTTAAGTCATTTGTCATCTAGGTAAAGAAGAACATGTAACTCACGTGAATTGCTTCAGTGCTGAATGGGTTGGTACAGACTCCAGTGCGGTAATGGCACTGTGGGCTCACACAGCCAGAGCAGATGTCCTGGAGGAGCTGGGACTCGCGCTGGGCTTTGCAGAAAGGGAAGGATTTGGAGTGCAGACCTTCCAGGCGAGGGAAGCTGCTGAGGAGTGGGATGAGGCAAGGTGGGGAGGAGTATGATGCGACCGAACCAGAGAGCGGGAACAGGAGAGCAGGGATAATAAGACTTGGGTTTCGTTACCTTTAGAAGGGGTCCTAAAAGAAAGAGCAGGTAATTTTTATTTAACCCAATTAGCCTTCAGCAAAAGAATATGTTGTTTGCAAAATTATCATTTCTATCACTAGTGTCTTGAAAACCTTTGGGAATGATTTCATTCAGACTTTCAGAGTAAAATTCCTCCGTCTCTTCGGCACAGTGAGGAACGCTCAGCGGAAGCACGTTCTTGCAGCCCATCAGGTCATCCACAGGCAGACGGAAGCCATGCTCAGACAGAATTTTGCTGAGCAAAAGCAAGATGAGGTCCCAGACACTGACAATTTACCTGAGGAGGGACAATTTAGAGAGGAAGAAACTCAAAATGAGGAAAACAGCTAAGGTGAGTTTGATTTTCCATCTGGAAGGAAGTAGAGAGAGAAGGAGAAGCAGCGTCATTCAGCTCCGTGCCATAAAAATGGCAAAGTGAAGGACTGTCCATTGTTTAAGGAAACGACGCACTCCCATTTGAATTGGCACATTTCATCTACGTTATGGAATCTCCTATTGAAATTAGTAGAGAATAAAGTTGATATTATAGCAATTGGACTCTTGTGACCTGAAAACAGGATTCTAGATTATTTTTTATGGGTTCTTTTAGCATGTAACTATACTCCATCACAAATAAAGCTGCAAAATGTGTCAGTGTTATAGAAAAAACCTTTCTTCTGGAGGTAGACAGGATACCTCTATCGCATTGTGCTGGCTGTAAGCAGAGCATGAGGCACAGTCTGCCCAGTTCTGGCCCAGGTACCTTCTGCAATGCCCACCGGGGGTTGGTCTTAGGTTCAACTAAACATTCATACTCACGAGACTAACATAGGCCATATTTAATTGATTTGAGTGTCAATCTACTCAGAAAGATATAAGACAGGAACCACGGCTCCCAGCAGCACAGCATCAAGCATTTCTTTTCCTCTGCGAACTCTTGCCATATCCTTACAGAACACACAGCTATTTTCTTTAGCCCCCAGGCTGCAAAGCTCAGGTGCAAGGAAAAAAGATTTGCATTGGGTGGGTATAGGAGCTGCCCCAGTTTACATGCCCCAGAGGCCAGTATCTCTTGTAATAATTCTATAGGCAAAGTTTCCAGGGTCCCCCCGATGGATTTGTCCAGTTACAAAAGCCAGCACACTCAGGAAAGCTCAAAGCTGTGGTTTCCTATTAGGTATTTATAGTTCATTTATAATTCCTGCCAGTCAGTTGCTGGTTACCAATCAGGGGTCATTTTTACCTTGGGTAATGTTGCTTGGTGACATAGCTGACACATACCACCTCGTCAGATTACAGAACAGAGCTAGAGAGTCGACTGAAAGTAAAATTCTGAGAAGGGGAAGGGGAGTGAACCCATTAGTTCTACCTTCTCCCTCAACCACCACCCCCGCCCCGCCCCGCCCCCAGCCCCGTGGGAGAGGCACATGTCCGCTGTTTTGGCCTGAGGGTAGGCTGTCAGGTTAGGGAAGCACCGGGGCTTAGGGGGAAGTTTGAGCCTGGCATTCAGAAGGTTTGGGTGTTGGTCAGCTCTGCCACTGACCGTATAATCTTATGCAAATAATTTCCCTTCACTTGAGGTTTGCGCACGTACATGTGACCAAGGGGAATCTATCGGGACCTTAAGTCCCAATCAAAGAGGATCGTGGAAAGAAGGTTGAGATGAGGGGGCAGTTATGAAAGAGAGCAGAGAGCAAGCTGATAAAGGACTCTTAGATACCGAGATGCGGCTGTGAGTTACAGCAGAAAATCTTTTTTTTAATTAATAATGAAAAACCTCTGAAATCATTGGAGCTATAAACTGTGTGTTTACATATAATGTTATATACTATCTGTATAATATAAATTCAAGGACCAAGACATTTTGCCTATCTTATTATTGTGATAAAAATCAGACTTAATGTTGGGGTAGTCATTTTTCTTACATATAAATTTATTAAGATTAATAATTTACATAATCTGAATTGAATTCATTTGCATTTACTTCTGAGTATAACATCTGTTCTGTGACGTACATGGTGATCTGTGAAATCAAGCCAGAGGAGTGTAAAAATGATTTTCTCAGGGCCGGCCCCGTGGCCAAGTGGTTAAGTTTGCCTGCTCCGCTTCAGCAGCCCAGGGTTCGCCAGTTCAGATCCTGGGCACAGACCTAGCCCAGCTCATGAAGCCATGCCGGGGCAGCATCCCACGTAGCGGAACTAGAAGGACCTCCAACTAGAATAAACAACTATGTAGTGAGGGGCTTTGGGGAGAAGAAGAAGAAGAAAGAACATTGGCAACAGATGTTAGCTCAGGGCCAATCTTAAAAAAAATAAAAATTTATTCTCTCTTTTATATTTAGTGAAAGTAAAATACATTTGATTAAAACCTATGTAAAGCATATTGTAGTTATAAAACATAATTTCAAAAAAATTCTAGTTGCCAGGCAAACTACAGACACTCAGCGAGGAAGATCAGCCAATAAATTACTAAAGCATCTTCTTGGTGCTTGAGTAAATGGTTGGAACCTCGTGCTTGGCTGCCCCACAGTGTGCTCTCCTTCTTCCTGCTCTCAGAGGGAAGTGGGGAGGGGCAGATGTGAGATTATGTAATCATGCTTAGAGAAGGGGGCAGTAAGCATGGACCATTGATTAAAAACATATTTTAATCAGCTTGAAGACAATGGAGAGCCAACTAAATAGTAAAGAATTTCTGGGCAAAAATCTAAGAGAAGACAAATTCAGAAAGTTGAGTCTGGCGTTTGGAGCCACTTTTTTTCTGAAAGAATATGAAAATTCTAGAAAATGTGGCTGAAAGGCTAAGCAACGCTTTCACCAGCTTTGCAAAACCCCGGGCGACAAAAACTGGAGTCAAGGTTGAGGCCCTGGTAACCCACCTCCATTTGGCTTGGGACTCCAAAAGGCTATGTCCCGATAATAAGAGTGAATTGGAACTAAACTGGGCCTCACATAGACTACAGGTTAGCTTCCAATCATCTGAATGATCAAAAAAAATTCTCAATCCCAGAAATTGAATTAAAGAGATCTTTGATCCCTGTTGCGTCATGGAACTTGTCAGAAACAAAACTTAAATTCTCTTTGGAGAAAGTTGACATCATTCTGGACCTCAATTTATTTTCACAAACAATTTTTCATGTATAATTTCCAGAACACAACCAAGGAAATCCAGGTACATAAGAAGGCATTGAACAAGCAGCAGTAGAAATCAAAGAAAATAGAAACAGACCTAAAGGGATCTAAAATATTGGAATTATTAGAGAGATTTTAAAATAACCATGCTTGCTACATGGACTTCTAGCCTCCAGAATTATGAGAAAATAAATTCTGTTGTTTGAGCCATCTATTCTGTGGTATTTTGTTATGGCAGCCTGATCCAACTAAGAGAGATCTTAGTACCAGGAGTGGACAGCCGCTGTAACAAATACCTAAACATGCTGAACTTGTTCCAGTATTATTGGAAGATAAAACTTGTGAGCGATGAAATTAGATATTTAGCTGAGAAGATTTCTAAGCAAAGTATTGAGGGAGTGACTTGGTTCCCCCTGACTGCTTATAGGAAAACATGAAAGGAGAGAGATGAATTGAAAAAGGAATTAAGCAAAAAGGAACAAGAACTTGAAGATTTGAAAAGTTCTCAGCCTATGTATGTTTCAAAAAAATGAGAAAGTTTATTCTGAAAAGAACACTAAGGGTGTGGCTGAACAGCTATTTGATAAAGAGTTTATGAGGCTGTAAGACTAGGAACACTGCCAGTTTGAAGTGAAGGGGATGGAGACAGGATGACATGAAGGAAGGCTGTCAGACTTCTTGGATTTGACAGGATGAGACGACAGAGCTATTATGCTGTGAATGTGCACAGTTCTTCAAGAAAAGGAAAAAATAACCCTGAAGGCATTTCAGATATTATCAGGGCCACCGCCTCAGTTTCAATAGGTGAGATGGCCTCTCCCCAGAACCTTAAGGGTGGGGCCGTCCCTGGGACCCTACCCTGGCAGAGCTGCAGTGATGGGACCCCCACTGAGAGCCGTGGGGATGGGGCACAACATAGCCGAAGGGGCAGGGCCACTCCCCAGAGCCATAGGAGTAATGCTGCCATCCCAGTGGACCTGGAAGGCAGGACATTGAGCCAAAGAGGGTTCATCTTAAGCTTTAAGATCCCATAGAATTTGTCTAGCTAGGTTTTGGAGTTGCTTGGGACCCATTACTCCTTTCTTCCTTCTGATTTCTCCCTTTTAGAACAGGAGTATCTATCCTACACCTGTTCCACCATTGTATTTTGGAAGCACATAATTTATCTGGTTCACAGCTGAAGAGGAACGTTGCCTGAGGATGAATCGTATCTTGAGTCTCACCCATATCTGATTTAGATGATGTTTAGATGAGACCTTCAACTTTAGAGTTGATGCTCAAATGAGTTAAGACTTTTGGGGCTGTTGGGATGGAATGAATATATTTTGCATGTGAGAAGGACATGAATTTGGGGGGACTGGCATGGATTCCTGTGGACTGAATTGTGTCCTCCCAAAATTCATATTTGAAGCCCTGACCTCCCATATGATGACATTTGGAGATGAGGACTGTGGGAGATAATTAGGATTAGATGAGATCATGAGGGTGGGTCCCTCATGATGGAAACAGTGCCCTTATAAGAAGGGACACCAGAGAGCTTGCTCTCTCTCTCTTTCCCTGCTGTGTGAGGACATAGCAAGAAGGCAGCCATCTACAAGCCGAGAAGAGAGTCCTCTCCAGAAACCCACCATGCTGGTACCTTGATCTTGGACTTCCAGCCTCCACAACTGGGAGAAAATAAACTTCTGCTGTTTAAGCCACCCAGGCTATGGTATTTTGTTATGGCAGCCTGAGCTGACTAAGATACTATGTTCAAAGAAGTGAAAGTCAATATTGAAATTTTCAGGAGAACTAGAAATGATAAAAATGATATAGCAAATCTGAGAAAAAAGAGAAATCCTAGAATTTAGAAATACAACAGTCAGGGCCGGCCCTGTGGCTGAGTGGTTAAGTTCATGCGCTCCACTTCAGCAGCCCAGAGTTTCACCATTTGGATCCTGCGCGTGGACATGGCACCACTCATCAGGCCATGCTGAGGTGGCGTCCCACATGCCCCAACTGGAAGGACCCACAACTAAAATATACAACTATGTACTGGGGGGATTTGGGGAGAAAAAGCAGGGAAAAAAACAAAAGACTGGCAACAGTTGTTAGCTCAGGTGCCCATCTGAAAAAAAATAAAAAACAATAGTCATCTTGAGAAACTCAATGAATGCATTTAACAGCAGGATAGATACAGCCAAAGAGAAAACTAGTAAATTAGAAGATAGATTGAAAGAATTTACCTGGAAAGAACACAGAGACAAAGAGATGGAAACTACAAAAGAGAAGAAAGGATAGATGTATGATAACTTAATCCTTAGGAAGAGAGAAAAGAATAGTAGACATGGAACATGGATTCAAGAAATTTGACTGCTAAGAGAAGAAATATGTTGGGAAATCATATGAAATATGAATTTTCTAAAACTGTTGAAAGGCTCAATGTTTAAGAAGTCTTCTTAATACCAAGCAGAAAAATTAAAATGAAATCTATACCTAGGCGCATTTGAATATTACTGCTGAAAACAAAAGAAAAAAATCTTGAAAGCATTCAGAGAAAAAGGATGAATTACCCTCAGGAGAGCAGTAATTAAGTTGACAGTTGACTTCTCATCAGAAACAAAGCCAGAAAATAGTAGAATGGTATATTCAATATGCTGAAATAGTATAATAAATAGGATTCTGTACCATGCAAATATATCCTTTGAGAATGACAATGAAAGACATTTTCAGACAAACAAAACTGAGAAAATTTGTCACTAGGAGATCTGTACTACAGGAAATTACTAAAGGGTGTTATTCAAGCAGAAGGAAAATTATCCCAGTTGGAAGGTTGGAAGTAAATAAAGAATTAATATGTGGATAAATATTTATTGACTGCATAAAACCACCATAAAAAGAAACAGCAACAATAGCAGCAGTACAGTTACACAACAAAAGTAGCAAATAAGTCAGAAAGGGCATAAATGGATTAAATTATCTTAAGACACTTGCATTGTCTAGGAGGAGGATAAAGGTATCATTTAACATTATCTGTGATAAATCAAGGAAACATTTTATAACCTCTAGTCTAACTCCTAAAGGATAGTAAAAACATGTATGACATCTAAACTAATAGAAAAAATGGAATAAATAAAAAACACAATACAAAAGGAGGATAGAAAGGAGAGAAAAGGGAAACAAATAGAACCAATAGAAAGCACTGAAGAAAATGGTAGGTGTTTATCACTGAGTCGTCATTAACTACATTAAATGTAAATAGACCAAATGCTCAAAGTAAAGTTAGAATTTGTCAGACTGAATAAAAAACAACTCAATTTTATGCTATTTATAAGAGATGTGTATAAAATCTAAATATACAGAATGGTTACAAGTTAAAAGACAGAAAAAGATACCGTGAAAAAGTATGAGACAGTATTTGAATATATCTAATAATATGGCCTCAACCTATATGAAGCAAAATTTGATAGACCTTCAAGGAGAAATAGACAAATCCATAATAATGTGAGGAAATTCTAGTCTCTTTCAGGAACTAATGGAGCAAACAGAGAAAAAAATAGTGAAAAATGGAAGATTTGAGATACATAATTAATAAATAACCTAATGGAAATTTATAGAATATTACACCCAAAAACTATAGAATGCATATTAGGCACACACAGAACGTTTACAAAAACTGACTATACACTCTGTCATAAAGCAAGTGTCAACCATTTCAAAGAGTTGAAATGAAAAGTGCGTTCTCTGATAAAAATGCAATGAAACTAGAAATCAATGACCAGATAATTCTAATATGTTTGGAAATTAATAAATACAGGTATAAATAATCTGTTCATCAGAGAAAGTATCAGAATAGAAAACAGAAAATATTTTGAACTGAAAAATGACAAAAATGCTATGTACGTATCAGACGTGGAATGCTGCTAATGCGGTGCTTCGTTGGAAATTTGTAGTCTTACAGGAATTTATTAGAAAATAAAAGGTGAAAATAAGACTAAGCATCCTTTTCAAGAAATTAGAAAAAGAACAGCAAATTAGATTCAAAGAAGCAAAAGGAAGGAAATCATAAAATAAAAATAACAACAGGAATTAATAAAACAGAAAATAGACGTGTCTTCTGGCTCTAGGTAGGATGCAGCAGAGGCTGCAACAATTAGAGAAAATAACGGATACGTCGTGAACGTCCTATTTTTAAAGGCACTGGAGAGCTGTGGAAATAAAGGGGACTAGAGGAGCTGAAACAGGGGAAGGAAAGAGTCCTTCCTAAGTGATCTCAGACCACTGGCCATTTTCTTCCCTTGGGGCACTGGCCAAGCCTGGGCACAAGCTTTCTAGAGGGAACAGAAACCAGCAAGGCTTTTAAAGTCTGTGTGGGCCAGAGGATGGATTGGAGTCTAGAGGCGCCCCAAACGTAAGGCCAAATTTCCCCACGAATGTCAGCTTTAGGTTTTTGCTCAATAACTTTTTCCCAGTGGCAAAACGTTTGAACCTTTGTGTTATTTAACCAGCTGTGTCAAAGGGTGATCTTCACTCAGTCCGGTGGATTTAACCATTGTTGATTCATTGTTGCATGAATTTATGGGCTTTTGGGTGAGAAATAGCTGAATATCCTGACTTGCCTCACCACACTGATGTTCCATGGCTTAGCAATAGTAATGTTTTAGTGCAATATTTTGAGCTCAGACCAAGATTGAGATTTTTCTAAGTGAGAAAACTACCTTTAACCACTATTATGGAACACTGAATGGCTTTGGAAATTAGCTCTTGCTGCAGACTTGGTAATATTTTTTAATGGATCCAACCTAAAATTACACGGCAAAACAGAGCTTCTGTGCAGAGTTTATACTATAGTAAAGTCATTTCAATGGCAGCTAACATTGTCTGAATCGCAAGTACTGGTAAGCTGCTTTATATACTTCCTGTGCTGTCAAAAGTTAAAACAAAAAGCACCGTTTCAATTCCCACACATATTGGCAGTGAATATATTTTCTAAGCTTTAACTATACTTCCAGGAGTGTTTTTTGGACCTCGAAACAAGTGCAAAGGAAATTTCCGTATTTCAAAATCTATTTAACTGTGCAGTGGAGGCCTGTCCACCTAACCTTCAGTTGGAAGTGATTGATCTGCATTGCAGTGACATGCTAAAAGGCAGGTATTAGGAGAAGAATCTACTGGAATGCTACAAGTCCCTTCCAACTAATAAACATGCACAATTAAAAGCATACACTCGTGGATTGATGTCAGTATTGGCAGCACCTATCTGTGGGAAAGACATTTTCAAAGATGGGAGGAAGTCTCATTGCACATCACCATTAACAGATGAACACTTTGATGATTTCAACTCCAATTAAGCAAAATGTTATACCCTAAATAAGAGTTCCATCCTTCTCATTGGTAGACCTGTATTACAAAAAACTGTAGCCAATTGTTATTACTATCTTTTGAATTTTATCAATAAAAAATTTGTGAAAATTTGTTTCCTTTCTTGGTATTTGAGTATCCACCGAATATCCTCAGTTTTGTCTTGTGGCTCACAAAGCCTCAAATATTCCCTATCAATCCCTTCGCAGAGAAAGTTTGTCAGTTTCTACTCTACAGCAGTTTAAATGAATGAAGTAGAACTAAATACAACAATATGGATGAATCTCACAAACATAGTAAAGATAGAAAGAAGCTAAATCCCCCCCAAAATCTACAGTATGAGTATGTTTATATAAAGTTCAAAATCAGCACTAAACTAATGGTGTGTAGGAATGCACACATAGGAGGTAAAGATATAAAGAAAAGCAAGGAAGTGATTACTGTAAAAATCAAATATAAATCAGAATAGTGATTACTTTTAGAGGCTAGAGAGAGGGTTGTGATTGGGAAGGAGTAAGTGGGGTGGTATTTACACAGATGAGCACGTCACATTAATTCATTAAGCTGCACGTTGGTTTTCTGTACTTTCTAATATGTGTCATATTCCATAACTAAAAGTTAGAAATACGAATGTATGTATACAAACACATATATACATACATTATGCCTGCAGGATACGCAGAATATTTCTGGAAAGATCAACAAGAAACTGGTAAGTAGTTGTTGCCAGGCATGGAAGCTGGGGAGTGGAGGTCAGACTTGGGGGAAAGAGATGTACTCTCCTCACGTTTATATCCATTTGTAGTTTGAATTTTTTAATGAGGCACACATATGAAGTTTTCTATTATAACCCCGTTAAAATTTTATTTTAAGTGCTAGAATTCAGAAACTGCGACCCTGTGAGTTCATAAATGTTTAAATCATGGGGCTTGTAAGTGACAGAGCTGGGCTATGTCTGGGACTGTCTGACTTCAAAACCAAGGCTCTGTGTAGTTATATCACAGTAATTTTTTGGATGTGTTGATCTGATAATGTTTGTTTCTAAAAAGATGACATAATCATAAACATTCACGTGGGTTTTTTTACAGATTATGATCTTTTTTAAAGGAAGATCTACAAATCATCGTAAAGGATCCAGTAGTCTGTGCTTCTCCCAAGATGGGCAGCTCTTAAGGACTTGTCAGTGTGATTCATGAGGAAAGAGGTTTATTTCCCTTAAATTCCCACTAACTTAAAATGATTTTCAGGAATAATAATCAAATGAAGGAGCTTTATTTTCTTTGGTGTTTCCTAGACGCTCTACTTCAAGAGAAAATTTTTTCATGTATCATTTCAACATTTTGTTAACTATGAGGACATCCTGGCTTGTTGAATCAAACAAAAAGAAATGTTATTGAATATTTAAGTGGTTTTGGTTTGTTATTCGTAGTACTTTGGCATTATCTACTAAGGTTGAAAAATATGCATACCTCGTAACCCAGCATTTCATCTCCTAGATATAAACCCAGTAGAAATGCATTAGTATGTGCACCAACAGGCACGACAAGAATGTTCATAGCAGTACGATTCATGATAGCCCCTAAACTGGAAACTCAATATCCATCTACATTGGAACAGAAAAATAAACCGTGGCATATCTGTACAATGGCACATCAACCACTACTGAGCTCTAGATCTAAGAAGTATATTCATGCAACACCCATAGAGAGGGTGCTGTTGGAGAGCAATCTGTCCAGCCTGTGTGTTGACAAGCATCAGGGCTGAATGGATCCCTCCTCATTTCAAGATCAGTAAATAGGAAAAACAATAAACAAAAGCATCAACAACAAGTCAAGATGTTGGAATGTAAAGAATTTACATTAAATGTAAAGACCCATGTAAAGAATTTACAAAAGAAATTGTATGTTACTCTGAAATCAGAATAAAACCTATCATAGAAAATATCTTAATATAGGAAACAAGAAAAATTTCAGGGGGCTGGCCCAGTGGTCCAGCAGTTAAGTTCGCATGTTCCACTTTGGTGGCCTGGGGTTCGTCAGTTGGGATCCCAGGTGCGGACATGGTACCACTTGGCAAGCCATGCTGTGGCAGGCGTCCCACATATAAACTAGAGGACAATGGGCACAGATGTTTGCTCAGGGCCAATCTTCCTCAGCAAAAAGAGGAGAATTGGCAGTAGATGTTAGCTCAGGGCTAATCTTCCTCAAAAAAAAAAAGAAAGAAAGAAAGAAAAACTTCAGAAACTACCTGCTTGGTGCTTTTAATAGAAGGCAAGAAGAAATGGCCTCTTAGGGAACTGAAGCAGGGAATAATAAGAACAGACAGAGGCCAAAAGACAGACAGATGCAGGCTAAAAAGCAAAGAATGCTGGGGAAGATGGAAAAAATGTACAAGAAGATTAAAAATCCACTGACATCCATTTGGATGCAGTTAAAATAACAGAAATCTCACAGCAGAGAACAAAACAGGTGATGTTGCTGACAAGTGTGTTAAGCCATCCAGTGTGGGCTGGGAAGGAAAGGGCAAAGAGATGAAAATGACAGAGGCCAGCTCTGGATGACACTCTTACAAGCAGTAGGAATTCTTAAAGAGGAAACCAACACAAATACAATAGAAACAATAATCCAAGTTATAATAAAAGATTTTCTGAGCTGAAAAAATACTTGACCATGCAAACTTGAAAGGGTTGACCGTGTCCTAGGAAAACTAGGCTTGGGGCAACTTTTCCCCCGAGGATAAGTGAGCAGCAGCCAAGTACTGCCCACGTAAGGAGGAGTCAAATTCTGTCTCGTTCCTTTAAACACGCTAACCTGATCTAGGGAGAAGGTGCTATTATTCACTTGTGAAATAAGAAATCAGGAACACAAAATGAGAAGATGCGAGTCCGGCGTGATGGGGTAGAGGTGGGGGATGCTGTACAGCAGGGAACAGCAGACTCTTCTGTAAAGAGCCAGAGAGTAACTGTTTCAGGTTTTACAGGCCAGGCGGTCTCTGCTGCAACCACTCAACTCTGCCGTTGTTGGGGGAAAGCAGCAATGGGTAAGGCATAAATGAATGAGAGTGGCTGTGTTCAATCAGACTTTACAAAAATGTACAAAAACTGGCGGCATGCCGGGTTTGGCTATGGGCCGTAGTTTGCCTGTCTCTGCTATATAGAGGTGAACTAAAGTTAAAGTCAATGCCTACTTTGAAAAAGGATTTCAGGTGGCTTCTAATAGGATGTAAGGAAACTTAGAATATTTTCTTTAAAAAATTGTATCCTTATGTAGTCTTCTAAAACTCAGCTTTGTATTTAGACAAAAATGAAAATGAAGCCAGCACAACACAAGGTTGACATAAGGGAAGCCATATTGTAGAAGACAGACCATATTGTAAATTTGAATGACCTCTGACTAACTAATCCAGCTGGATTTGCCCCCTCCAGGAGATCCACCTGCTCTGAGATTTTATGACCCCTGCTTGTGCATACACCTCCCAGCTGCAATAAGACGATATCTTCTTTCTTTTGAGTTCCTTAGGAATGTGATGACCCCCACACAGAGAGTCTATGCTGATAGCCATCATCAATGAAAACTGAAAGATTTTGTGTGGCGACTCCCACTCTGCAACACCAGAGGGTCAACATTCCTAACCCCCTCCCCTATGACCCACTGGCCTATATAACTGTTCAAGATTCTGTGCCCCTTTAAGATGGTTCTTTTGGACCTTAATCAGCCATCTTCCCTCTTGCTAGCAAGGTATAATAAAATGCCCTTTCTCTGCCACCATCTTGCCTCTTGTTGATTGGCTTTTGTTTCACAGTGAGCAGATCATGCCGTTTGTGTGGTAACAAAAATATAAGGTATTACAGAATCCTCATTAGCTAATTGAAGTTTACCAGGAGAGGAAAACTTTTTCCTGATACTAGCAACCCTCTACTTATAATGGCTTTAGTTAAAATTCCCGAATTTTAATAACCTTTGCTCTTGAAAATAAAACACTTCGAGTGATGAGCAAAACTCATGTTTAAAGCCATGTGATCATGGCAACTGGAGCCACGTAGTGGACCGGGACTAGACTAATCCAGTCAATAGCAACACACAACCACAACTGATTTCTGAGGCAGAAAACTTTTCACATGGATGCACAATCAGGTGCAGTGATCCTTGCGCCACTTGACAAAGGCATTGCCTCTCTTCAAAATGCATAAGAACAGGCGAGGTAAAATCCAAGGAAGAGTGTGCGGTGTGAGTAAAGGCTCCCTTTGGGATGAGGGATTCCAAATGTTGAGGAACAGAGCTCCCAGACAGATTGAAGTCTAGTGTACATTGGTTCAAGGGAAGCTCCCGTGACTGTCATCCCCCTCCTCAATTCTGGACCATGGAACCCGCTTGGGAGCAAAGCTGCACCTGCTAGGAAGGCTTGGAGTACTTTTATGCAGCAGGCTGCAGAGGCTCACAGCCAGTTACCAGTAGAATGGAGAATGCCAACGAGCATGAGTGACAGTGAATGGCCTCCAGCTGTGCCTACTCTTGTGGCGCTAAAGCCAAGTGAGCACCCTAGCAGTGCAGTAGCGTGGAGGTTAAGAGACTAGGCTCTGGAGCCAGATGATCTGGATTGAAATCCCAGCCCAACGACAGTGTGTCCTCAAACAAGTTACTTAACCTCACCAAGCCTTAGCTTCCTCCTGTCTAAAATGATATAACTATAGGATGTACATCATGGGGTTGGTATGAGGATGTAATGAATTCATTTATGTAAAAGGCTTATAACAGCACCTGGCATATGGTAAGCACCCAGTAAGCACCAATTGGCTACTTTTACTATCATTATGGGACAGAAGCAAAAGAGATATGGGTGGAGCATTTTTCCTGCTTTTAAAAAGGCAAAGTAGCTACACCTACTTCTATGTAAAAAGTGGCCCAGTGGATGTCAGTCTCTAACCAATCAGGCGAGTTTCTCCATCTCACCTGGGGAAGAGTAAAAGAGAGAGAATACGGATGTGCTGTCAGCCCTCCTTGTCCACAAATGGGGGAGAGAAATGAGTGCCCCACGTTCTGAAGAACCTTAAAGTGTTGATAATAAGGGCTCCCTCTCTACCAGACACCAGAGCAGTAGAAGAAAGCCATACATATCATGAAGAAGAATTTCCCAGAAAATTTAACTAAAACCTTTGAAGAAGGAGGCGTCTTTTATTATAGGCGTCAAATGATGAGGAAACTGGAAGCAAGGGCTGTGATGGTTCTCAACCACGGCTGCATCTTAAAATCATCGAGTTAAAATCACTTTTAAAAAGATTGGTTCTCAGGCCTCTCTCCAGACCACTTAAGACAGACTCTTTAGAAGTGGAGCCAGACAAGGGTATTTTTTAAAACCTTCTCAAGTGATCTAATGCATGTTCAAGGTGTAGAATAGGAGAAACCTTTCCCAAGGAGACTGTCCCTTGTCAAGCATTTAACATTCAGAGAGACTTACCATGGAAGACACGTCTTCAGCCTAGGTTTTAACAATATTTTATTTCTAAAGCTTCAAGGATTCCAAAGACAAAAAAGAAAATGTGGGAGGAAACACTGATACTGGGCACAATATAAAACCTGTACTTCGTGTGCGATAGCATATATCCCATTTGACTGTAATTGCCTGCATAATCCTCTCTCTCACCAACCGGCCTGTTAGCTCTGAGGGCAGGGCAGCAGCTGTGCCTCCTGAGTTCATTTGTTTTGATTCCCAGTGCCTGGCACAGTCTCTGGCACATGGTAATCTCTCAACAAGTATTTATTGAATGAAATTCAGCATTCTTAATGTTTGTAGAAGCAAATATTTGTGTGGTTTTGGAGAACATTTATGATGTCTTGGTATTTTACGGTGTGAAATGAGTTTTCAACAACAAAATTCTAATTTATAATATTCATTTCTATCAAATAAAGGTTTAACTTTTTCTGATTCAACTGTGGACTGTTACAAAGGAACCAAGTAAGTCACAAAGGAAGGAGGGACCTTCTGGACTACATCCTGAAAGGAATTTATCCCACTCATTCTTGCACAAACAACATTCAACAGCTTAAGAAACCTCCAACAGAGGTTTTAGAGAAGATGCAAAAATGTTCTTCTCACTATTTTATTTTTAATAAAGGTTAAAGACATTATATTAAAACATAACTATAAAGTCAGCTTCCAATTACGACAGAAAGAAGAGGTCAGCAATTCTTCTCCACTAAATAAAAGTATATAACTGGACAAAATTGTCAAAAATACCCACTTTATGTCACTAGAAATCTACCAGAGATGGACAACAGATTGAAAACCTGCTAGAGATTCAGGTAAGAACAACAGAAGCCTACTACTCTCCCCCAACCCCCACCCAGCTCAGTCAGCAGGAATGACAATCTTCTAACGAGCAACTTTGCTTCCAGAGGGGGAA